CAGTTAGACTTTAATTAGTCAAAGAAGAGTGGGCGGGGTGTCCTAAGCAGAGCAAGTAGCTTGTTCAATCATAAAAGAAGGCTGAAGGGACTGGCACAAGGCAATTCAAGAAATGAGGTCAGCTGGACTGGCAGAAGTAGAATGAGGGGAAACACGTACGTATCCATGGAGTTGGACGCTGACAGCCAGCTCCTACCCCTCTCTCCCTTGCTCAGGCTGCTCCTGTCACTCTGGACTCCTAGCCACTGCTCTAACACAGTAGGTATTTCTTCTCCTAACATCACTGACTCTTCTGTATACCGTTCCTCCAATCACCTGCATGGGGCATTCTTTCATCTTTAAATCTTTGCTCAAATATCACCATCTCAGTGATACTAGCTCTGGTCACCCCATTTAACTTGCAACACACCCTACCCGGCTGACAGATGCTCTTCACTCGGCTGAATTTCCCTCCGTGGGACTTATCCCATCCTAACACCCTATACAGTTCATGTAGTTACTATGCTCATTGTTTATTGGCTGCTTTTTCCTACAACAAGACAAGTCCCATGAGAGCAGAAATGTTTGCTTGTTCTAACAGTGTTGTATCTGTCTCTGGTGCCTGGCACATAGTCAAATCACCTTGCCCTCATGGAGCTTACTAATCTCATTGGGAGCAGGCCAGAAAGACACCTGGAAAAACATATTCTAAGTCAAAATACACATGAAGAGCCACAAAAATCAAATATGAATTGCAGAAAGATCACTGATGGAATACTAGTGAATGGACCAGGGATAGGGACACCAATTAGGAACCGAGACAAAGCCTAAGAACAAGAGCTAAAGCAGGGAGTAGGGATGGAAAGGAGCTACTGAATTCAGAGATCTGTCGGAAGCAATAAGGACAACAGTAAAGAGAGGCCCCAGGTAGCAAAATGGACTAGTGCTTTACATACATCACCTCCAAACACCACAACAAAGAAAGGATAAAGAAGTTCAAACAGGGCCAAGGACCTGGGATAAAGCAACATTTGAGTTAAGTGGAAGAAGTACTACCAGGGAAAAGGAGGAGTGGGCAGAGGGGCAGGAGGCAGAAGGTTAACCAGGGTCAGTGGACAGCAAGCAAGAGAAGAGAGTTTCAAGGTGAAAGCTTTCAGTGTCAAAAGCTATAGTGAATTCATTTATAAAAGAACTGAAAAGTAACCACCAGATATAGCCAATAGGAAGCTTTTGGTAACTTTGACAAAAGCAATTTCAGGGCATAGCTGAGACCAAACACTAGATTATCCTGTGTTCCAGAGTAAAATGCAACAACTAAAAAGAGTTAGAGGAGCAAGAAGCTTAGCCATAACAGGAAGAAAGAGATTGGGAACCAGAGAGGAGCATAAGGTAGGAGTGACTTACGCTTGGGTATGAGCTGAAAGATCCTCCAGACAGAAGAAGAGGATGTCAGAAGAGAGGAAGGAGGCTGGGGTTCCAAGCACAGGTCTCAAGAGGATTCACCTTCCTCTGAAATACAGGAGGAGGAATGATGCCTGATAGAGACAGGTGCAACAGCGAAAAACGGTTCTGACAGAGCTCTCAGGTTCCGCTCCCATATATTCACTCCGTGTCTGCCGGCACTGATTAAGCAAAGAGCCCAGTCCTGACCTGCCTGATTTCCTGACGGGTCATCTTCCCTCCCTAGTTTTGGGCAATGGAAGTGGGCTGCACTCGTAACACCTTGACACAACCCTGGTCATCAGTCCTGTTCCTCTGATCCCATGACTTATGCACCTCCCGGTAACTGTGTGCTGGCTGAGGTCCCCAGATGAAGCTGTGTGTGAGCATGAGACAAGGCACTGCATTAATTCTGAGAAAGAAGCAACCCTAACAAATCCTCTTTCATCCAGTAATCTCACCCCATACCACTTATGGTGGGCACTACCACAAAACTCTTCCCTCAATGTGTGACTGTTGTCTTACTATTATTTGAGTTCACTATTCTCTATCTTGTTAATAACAGGTCTTTAGTAAACACCTACAGTGTAGGTGCTAGGTTGGCTGGCAAGGGAACAGAGAGACAGTTAATACCATTCATACATGTGTAGATATTTATGGTATACACAGACATGTACAACATATATATGCATACATAAGTAAAAACCATTACAAGGTAGCACAAACTGCAAAGTCAACAATATTGGCTAGAGAGCTTTGAAAGCTCAAATCTGGAGCCTTAAAATATTGAGAAAGGCTTCAAGGAATTACTGGGAAGCAGGCCTGACATAGAAGGAAGGGTAGATTAAATAATATAAGAGAATACTGCAGGCACATTGGCCTTAAATGTCCTTGGTACATCTTAGAGGCCAATTTTATGGTTCTATTAAGGAATCCAAATATCATCCTCCAGAGATGGGGAGCTCCTGAAGGTTTTCAGAATGAAGACTGACTTGCATGATGTGGAATAACCGTGTAGATCAATTTTTTTAAAAACGTCATACGGGGTAATAAGAGACTCCTGTGATACTTGATGTGAAGGTGATAAAGCTCTGCCTCATCTTTAAAGTTCTATGCAGTAAGATATTGGCAATCGGGATGGAAAAAAACAGTGCCTGCCTGGATATGGGAAAAGGGAAAGTAGGCCAGGAGCGCTATAACATTTCAAGCTGGAGAGGAGGGAGACTGAGGTCACCCTGGAAAGAATGAAAGGGGAAAACCCAGACAGCACAGTTCAGTAAGCAAAGTCCAGTGAAAATTAAGACACATGGGGCTAACATGATAGGGGCACATCTGGATGCAGATTTTTTATAGAGGGATTGACAAAACCTCTGGGAATAGGTAAGTACTGAAAGTGTTTGGGCTGGTGCAGTGGCATAGCAGGTAAAGCCACCACTTGCAGTGCTGGCATCCCATATGGGCGCCAGTTCGAGTCCCGGCTGCTTCTCTTCTGATCCAGCTCTCTGCTATGGCCCGGGAAAGCAGTAGAAGATGGCCCAAGTCCTTGGGCCTCTGCACCCCCGTGGGAGACCTAGAAGAAGCTCCTGGTTCCCGGCTAGATCAGCACAGCTCTGGCCATTACAGCCATCTGAGAAGAAGAGCTTGCTCACTCGCTCTCTCTCTCTCTCTCTGTGTCTCTGCCTCTTACTCTCTATTACTCTGCCTCCCAAATAAATAATCGTCATCTTTTTTTAAAAAGGGGGGGAGGTATTGGCATCACAAGCTACAGCTTAACCCACTGTGTCACAACAATAGGCCAACAAATAAGGAAGGAAGGGAGGAAGGAAGGAAGGCAGGGAGGGAGGAAGGAAGGAAGGGGCTAGTGTTGTGGTGTAGCAGGTAAAACTACCACCAGTGATGCTGGCATCCCACATGAGTGGTGGTTTGTGTCCCAACTGCTCCATTTCTGATCCAGCTCCCTGCTGACAGCCTGGGAAAAGCAGCAGACAATGGCCCAAGTGCTTAGGCCCCTGCTCTCCATGCGAGAGCCCTGGAGCAAGCCAGGGCTTCTGGCTTCAGCCTGGCCCAGCTCTGACCGTTGCAACCATCTTGGGAGTGAACCAGCAGTTGGAAGCTCTCTCTGTCTTTCCCCCTCTCTCTATAACTCTTTCAAATAAATAAATAAGTCTAAACACAAAAAGAAATGTATCATTAAGAACTGGGGCTTGATATTCTGCTTAAAAAAATAAAAAGGAAAGAAAAGTGTGACTCTTGGGATCATCAGCCCAAGAGAGAAAAGAGGAAAGGGAACTAGAGAGGAAGCTTGGGAGAAGCATCCTGAGATCCGAAGGCCAGGAGAGCAGAAACCAAGGAGGAAGCAGGTTTTGAGGAGGAGGAGACGCATAAAAATGGTGAATGCTGGAGAGATTATTGAGAAAAGGCCGGTAATAGGGTCACTCGTAATCTACAAGAGTTTCAATAGGAAAGAGGCAAGGAGTAAATGGATGGTGATGAACACACAGTGAGTGTTCTTTTGGACAGTGGAGTGGTGAGAGCCACCACAGTCAGCTGGTCGAAAGGGAGTGGGGCGAGGGGAAGATCTGTGTGCCCCTGCAGGGCTCGGGCACACTTCCTGATAGAATGTTAGTCGAGGACTCACTGAAAACATAGAAGAGTTCGGAGGAGGCGAGAGAGGTTGGGATTAAAGAAGGAAGGTCTTGAGTGGCCGGCCCTGGAAGAGAACAATAGCAGTGAGGTTGGTCAGGAGTGTCAAGACTCTGATCCTGAAGCAGAGAGGTGAGGGAGTCCTCCAGGCAACCTTCTCTTTCCACTCAACTAAAGGCAGCCGTGGAGCGCGTCAGGGATGGGATGTTTAAGAAGCCGAGAAAGGGAAGTGCAGAGGTAGCCGAGGTAGAACTTCAGACACGACATCCCAAGGCTGTGTTCAAGTCTCAGACAGGCTACACGGGCTGATCACCAGACCTCTCTGATTTCCTCCAAGTTGTGACGAGTAAATGAGATAAGGCACATGTAAATTATAAAGCACTTCTTAATGAGAGAAGTGGGAACACCCATCACAGGCAATGTGATATTGCATGAAAAAGAGATGAAGCGAAGCGCAGCCTGGCACCAGAGAGGGTGGGGGTGAAGTTCAGCAAGAATATATAGCAAACCAGGCCCAGCGTGTGACTTATTCCAACATACTGGAGTGGAGACAGAGCAGATCCTGAGGACAAGTGTGGAGAAGGAAGACAGGCTGCAGAAATCTAGGTAAGGAGTGTTTTAAGGCCTTTGTAGCCATGCCTACATTTGGAAATTACATGTAATGTTCATATAAAAGCGGCATTTGACTCGTTGAGAGGTTGTGTTTTTGAAATAGCCACCCTTCGATGGTTTCACTTAATAGTTTTCATGTTTTACGGAGTCAACCTCTGCCCTGCCCCTTCTATGTTTTTCAAAGGCTCCAGGCACTATGCCCGAAGCGGGTCATGAGGGCATCAGCTAAACAGCTGCCCGCTGCAAAGCCGGGCGACACCTCGGCTCTCCAGGCAGGCTTAAGCCGCTGGAGACCCCAAGCCGAGGGTGAGGAGTCAGCTAGTTACCGTTTTTGGAGTTTTGGAGATACAGGTCTCAGATCCCAGGCGTAGCAAAGCCCCGATTTGGCCGAATCCAGAGACTCCCGGTCAGGGCACTTTGCAAAGACAACAAAATTATAAAGCTAAGGGTGCCAGACGGGTTCATTTCCCAATTAGCCCGTGAGCCCACAAAGTGGACATCATCCTCCAACCACTCCATTGTGACCGCTCAGGCGGCCTCAATCAAGATTGACGGGTAAAGCCGGCTCCAAATCTGCTCTGCTGGCCGGCTTCTGTTACACACAGCTGTAGGATTCTGGGTGACACACAGTTCACCTCTTGGACCAACTGCACTTTTCCCAAGTGGGTGAAACCAAAGCTTCTCCGGTCCAGGGGATGCAAGTCGAGCTCCTCGGGTTGTTCAAAGGTGTCCCTAACTCGTGCCCAGAACCAGGGCCACGGGAGTTTCTGTGACCCGCACGCTAGGCCTGAGGGATTCTTGAACTAAAATTCCAAAGCCACGCGGGAACTCCGCAGCTAACAAACACCCGTGACCGCGCCGCCAGAAAAGCAGCTCCTACAACTCCCAGCAAGCTCCGGGCTGAGCACGTCCGAGGGCAACTGACAGCGCCACGGACCAATGGGAGAGCCCAGTCTGCGTTCTCGGGGCCAATCCAAAGGCAGAAAGAAGGCCGTGCGTGTGGTGTATCTGCGCGGCTTCTTCGATGGGCCTGAGCCCTCTCTGGTCGCCTCAGAGCTAGAGAGACGGACAGTCCCTGTGAAATGGTGACGCTGCCTACACTATGTCGTTCACTCCCTGCCTCTCTCTTTAACTTCCCTTTCGCCGCCCCGTGCTCTTTGGCCGCCCAGCCTCCGGCCCTTAGCTTGGTCCCTTCCCTCGCGTGAGCGGACAGGCGAGAATGTGGAATTTCCAAAACTTACTGGCTGCTGCTCGCGTCACTCTGGAGGATGGCGGGGCCCCAAGCGGCGAGGGCCGCCCCTCTCGGATGGTGATTGGACTCGCTGGAGTAGACGGGGCTGGGATTGGTGGGACGAGGGCAGCGCTTCTCCGGGCATCCTGGGCCGAGGACCCGAGATACAGTGACCACGGAGGAGCCGGCGGGGACTGGCGGCTCCGTCGCCCGCCGCGCGCCCTCCACGGAGGGCAGGAGCCGCAGGGCTCCCTACCTCACTGCGCGCTGGCGGGGGTGGCGCTTGTCGCGTGTGGGGCGCGGGGCCATTGGGGCGGGAAGGCGGGAGGGGTTGGCTGGGGTGGGCGGGCGATGCAGGGGTCGAGGATCTGGCAGCGCCACTGGCCTGAGGCTTAGAGCTGGAAGCGCATCTGGGGAGGAGGGCTTGGGCGGGTCTGGTATGGGATGCCGTGGAAAGGAGGGGGCCGTACCACAGATCCTGCCGATATCTGTGGGTGGGTCCTTTGAGGAAGCCTCCTCCCGTGTGCCCTTTTATTTGCCAACGAGAGCGTCCCCATGGTCTCTGTTCAAGTTCTGGAAGTTTTCTCCTTGGGTGGGCTTCCTCACCATTTTAGAACTGCCCAGGGCTGTTTCTGATACTAGGCACAAACGTGGGGACTATGTCAGAACACGGGAAGCCACCCATGGGCTTGGTGCGCAAACTTCCCAGCGGGACTGCACTTGGGGGCCCGGGCAAGACCCACTGCCCTTCGTGCTTGGCGCTTTTCAAAGCCCCCAGGCTCTTGCCTTGTTTGCACACGGTCTGCACCCAGTGTCTGGAGCAGTTGGAACCCTTCTCGGTAGTGGATATCCGAGGGGGAGACTCCGACAGCAGCTCTGAGGGGTCAATGTTCCAGGAACTCAAGCCGCGCAGTGTGCAGCCGCAGACTGGCATCCTCTGTCCGGTATGTGATGCCCAGGTGGACCTGCCCGTGGGTGGAGTGAAGGCTTTAACCCTAGACCACCTGGCCATGAATGATGTCATGCTGGAGAGCCTGCGTGGGGAAGGCCAGGGCCTGGTGTGTGACCTGTGCAGCGACAGGGAGGTGGAGAAGAGGTGTCAGACCTGCAAAGCCAATCTCTGCCACTTCTGCTGCCAGGCTCATAGGTAAAGATGGGATCCCCTCCCGGGTGTGGCTTAGGAGCAGAGTGCAAGGAGGTATCAGATACAGAGACCCCTGGGTGAGCAGATGAAGAAGAAAGCTTTCTCAACTACAGTTGAACGTCAACCAACAGTATACAACGCGATAGCAAACACTTTAGAACACTCGTTACCCCCTCAGCCGCATAGAATATCTGTAGAAATAATGGCCATAATAGCTTGCATAGTCCTAAAGCGCTCACTGATGCCTTCAGTCATCAGCCTTCTGTGTAGTGAACAATTGTGGTGGGTGCTGGAGAAACAGGAGGAGGAACAGTCTCTTAGGTCTGCCCTTGTCTCATCTGATTATTGCAACTCTTACAGAAAGGCAGGCACTATTTTTATTCCCAGTTATTAATTGAGGAAACAAGCTCTGTATGTTCCGTGATTTGCCAAGTTCCCGCAGAGCTGGTATTAAGTGTGAAACAGAACCGAGTCTCACATCCAGATCTCCGACTGTTCCGTGCTGCCCTATCGGTGTAGGTGCTGACTGGCAGGCCTCACCTCAGCCTGCACTATGTGCCCTAGAGTTACTGTGGAGCCTGGTAAGTGGGCTGGTTGGTGTTAATCGGAAGGTGCAGATTATGTCTTTTATTATGCTTAGTGAATAATTATGAGAGGGATCATTCTTTGTCCTTTCTTTTTCCACCCCCTGCCCCCATCCCATTCCAGGACATCAGATTATAAAATGACCAAGGGTTTAGGATTAGCCTAAAATAGTTTTTAAGTGCTGACTTCCATTTGTTTTCTGGCTTCACCAACAGAACAGATAAATAGTAACTTGTAATTATGTGATAGTTTAACTTGTAATTATGTGATAGTCCCTGTAACGGCCTTGCTTCGAGCTGAGCAGCTGTCCCTTTTTCTCTGCAGCCATTTCTCTGGTGCCTGGATAGGCCTATGAGCCTCCAGTTGATAAGAAATTAACAGACACTGCATTGTCGCTGTGGTTCTGTAGGAACTTCTCTGAATCTCTGGAGGCCTCCAGAAAAGGGAACTGAGAGAGCGTTCATTCTGCCGACCGTTGAGTTCACTTTCTAATAATGCTAACGACTCGAGGGCCCTTCTAGCCCGCTGATTTGGGTGATAGAGTTACTGGTCTAAGGAAATGCTTCGTTACATTCTTAGATGACGGCTGATGGCACTTTCCTGTTGGGGCCAGCTAGCTGCTTTTTAATTGCTGGGGTTATTGCTTTGCCATCTGGCACAGTTTCCATCTCCCGGTGTTGGTTTTCCATCGTGCTGTCTGCTCTAGCCTGCTGTATGGAACAGGCTGTAGCTCATGTCTAAGCTTGCCAAATTAACTCTGGGGAGGGTTTCGGGATGTATTTAGTCTGAGTGTCACAAGTTTTGCAAAGATGTTGTCCCAAGGCAGCCCTAGTCCACTTTCACATAAATATTGTCCCCACTGGCCAGTGCCGCGGCTCACTAGGCTAATCCTCCACCTTGCAGCACCGGCACACCGGGTTCTAGTCCCGGTCGGGGCATCAGATTCTGTCCCGGTTACCCCTCTTCCAGGCCAGCTCTCTGCTGTGGCCAGGGAGTGCAGTGGAGGATGGCCCAAGTGCTTGGGCCCTGCACCCCATGGGAGACCAGGAGAAGTACCTGGCTCCTGCCTTCGGATCAGCGCGGTGTGCAGGCTGCAGCGCGCCAGCCGCGGGGCCATTGGAGGGTGAACCAACGGCAAAAAGGAAGACCTTTCTCTCTGTATTTCTCTCTCTCACTGTCCACTCTGCCTGTCAAAAAAAAAAAAAATATATATATATATATATATTGTCCCCACTGTATACCCAAGGAATGGGTATGAGAGAGCCCCATGCAGTTAGAGATTAGGGGAAGGAATTGAATTCAGGTTTGTTTAACTCCACAGCCTAACGCCTCCCGCTGAACCTATCCCATAATTTCCTTTTCTGACTTTGCTTGCCCCCAGGCGGCAGAAGAAAACAGCCTCCCACACCATGGTGGATCTGAAGGACCTGAAAGGCTCCAGCGGGATTGGGAGGCCCATCCTGTGTGCCGCCCACCCTGCCGAGGAGCTGAGGCTGTTCTGCGAGCTCTGCGACCAGCCGGTGTGCCGGGACTGCGTGGTCAGGGAGCACCGGGAGCACCCCTGTGACTTCACCAGCAACGTCATCCACAAGCACGGCGACTCCGTACGGCAGCTTCTCAAAGGCACCCAGCCCCACGTGGAGGCCCTGGAGGAGGCGCTGGCCCAGATCAGAGGCCTCAACAGCGCCCTCCAGGAGCGGGTAGAGGCCGTGGCAGCTGATGTCCGGGCCTTCTCCGAGGGCTACATCAAGGCCATCGAGGAGCACCGGGATAAGCTGCTGAAGCAGCTGGCTGACATCCGGGTCCAGAAGGAGAATTCGCTGCAGCTGCAGAAGGCACAGCTGGAGCAGCTGCTGGCAGATATGCGGACTGGAGTGGAGTTCACTGAGCACTTGCTGGCCAGTGGCTCGGACTTGGAGGTCCTCATCACCAAGGGCGTGGTGGTAGAACGGCTCAGGAAGCTGAACAAAGTCGAGTATAGTGCCCGGCCTGGAGTGAATGATAAGATCTGCTTCTTTCCTCAGGAGAAAGCGGGCCAGTGCCGTGGCTACGAAGTTTATGGGGCCATTAATACCAAAGAGGTTGATCCAGCCAAATGTGTTCTTCAGGGAGAAGGTAGGAGGGCCTTTCCCACTGGCACGGAGAGGGGCAGGAGGCCAGGACCTGGTGTATAAACAATTATCAGTTGTTCTTCTAAGGCCTTTGCCTAGCTAGGAAGTACTCCCCTACTGGCCAGTGTGTCAAGGGAGAGAGACATGCTGGCCTAGAGGACATACCTGCCCCATGCTGCCACCTTGCCTGTTTCTTTCTGGTTTGTTCTGATCCGAGGACAGTCAGTAGTCCCCAGTGCAATGGGGAGCTTGACCCTTTCCCACTTCAGGGAAGTAGTAACCACCAAGGAACCCAAGGATCATGCTTTGTTTCTATCAGGTGACAGAGCTGAGATGGTGCCCACAGGAGGTAACCGCATTGACTAGGGCAGGGAGAATCTTGCCTGCTCAGAGGGGAGTGTGGCAGGCCCTGGGTTGCTTGAATCAAGTTCTGAAGGGGCTTTCAGAAGAATGAGGCAGACAAGAGGATGTTTCCTTCTTTATGCTGCTTTTGATTCATATAAACCTCCTCTAGTTATAGCTTTTAAAAGCATATGGTAGGTGTTTCATTCAGTAGGGAAGAAAATGGTTTCTGTTGACCAGTGTTCTCTTCCTAGAGGAAGCATGCTATTCAAATGTGTGTTCATGAATCAGTCCTGCTGAGAAGAGTCACCTAGGCTCTCGCACAGGAATTCTTAACAGTTTGGAGGTCATGTATCCCTTTGAGAATGACATCTCCCCAGAAACACCCACTACCATGGACATACAATTTCAGGAGAGTCTTAGACCCTCTGTAAACCTCTCTGTAGACCTCATGGTAGTCCATGAGCCATAAATTAAGGAACCTTACTTCATCGGAATGCTCAGTAAGAGTCCATGGCCATTGGATATTACCCCAACACCTTGGCATGAGCTGCAGAGTTGGGGAGTATCTCACGGCAGCCAGGGTCCCAGCTGGTCTGCTGAACCCCTGCCTGTTCCAGCAAGATCCAGAGCTGGGAGAGGGCAGCTTTGGGGCAGCCTATCTACAGGTTTTCTTCTCTGTACCTAGGCAAGTTCCGGGTATTTGCAAGGCTGCTTTATGACTGACAGTAAGGTCTAGGATCCTGTGTGATCCAAGAGCAGCTACTGGCTGAGAGATGACCAGACTTACGGGGAAGGATTCCCAAGAGGCAGGCAGAGGGGAAGAGAGAAGAAAGGCAGCTGGGTGGCAGCGGTCAACATGAAGCACAACCCTTTGTTCTGAAGAGAAACAGCGAAGCCTTCTGGTCTGGGGATTTGGGCACTGCAGTTTGCCTTCACGGTGAGGACAAGTGTTTGTCATTTGCAGATCTCCACAGAGCCCGAGAGAAACAGACAGCCTCTTTCACCCTGCTGTGTAAGGACTCTGCAGGAGAGAGCATGGGCAGGGGCGGAGACGACATTCATGTCGCCGTTGTCCCGAAGGATAAGAAAGACAGGTGTGTATTACACAGGTGTCATGGGTCACCAGCAGTGTGGACACTGGCAACAGGAGGTCCTTTGAGGCACTGGGGATACAACTACGGTGGTTCATCTTACCTCGCCGTGATGCCCCACTGGACCAAATGGGTTGTCCTGTGTGGGTTTTGTGTCTGTGTTCTGTTCTCTCCGAGAGGAGTCTGCCTTTTCCGGTTGTGTTCACCCCAAGGTTTGGATCAGACTGAAAAAATCCTCTGTCAGGCTGAATGATGGCCTCAAAATCCACCCCTGCCTTGCTGCTGCATTGTGTCAGGAGCATATCTGTGTTCCTCTGCATTTGGAGTAAGGAGAAGGAGAGACAAAGAACAAGAGGGTACACCTGAGACCCCTGGAAAGCGCACAGTGACGTTCTCAGGGAATTCATCTGAATGTCAGACTATATTAGAACTTACACTACTTATATACTATTATAAAATTAACTTCAGAGTCACGGGGAAGAAGCGGCTTGTTTGAGGGACATTCAGCATTAATGTTGAATGGGATGGTGTAGTGTTGACCTCCTAAGACAGCAGGGAACTGACGTAGCCCTAGAGGAGTGAGTGGTGTTTTGTATTCTTACCTCCCAGCAGTGCAGTCAGAACGGTGGTCCAGGATAACAAGGACGGAACATACTACGTCTCCTACACCCCCAAGGAGCCTGGCCTGTACACTGTGTGGGTCTGTGTCAAAGAGCAGCACGTGCAGGTGAGTAACCCCTGCGCATGCGCTGCCGCCGTCCTTTCTCCCCAGCCCGCCTGGGTTCTTTGTCTTAGGATCTGGAGATTTTATCATGGGGTCAGCTGCAAACAGATTGACTAGGATTCTCTTCCTTATGCCGCCTCTTCACTATGAAATGGCCCGGGTCTTGCTACGCTTTTTTCTTGTTAGAGGTTGCCAGTGACAGTAAGAACTCTCTCTGTTTTACTTCTTGGTAATCATGTTTCAGCTTTATAGTTCTCTCAGTTGGTTTATTGGAATTCTTAACTTGGAGAAGATTCTCTGATCTGAGGTTGTAGTCTGTCAGCAATCGGCTGTGCATGTCCAAGAAATAAAATCTGACTCAGCTTCTCCCAGTCCTGGTCAGACTGCGACTGGACGTGAACTTCCTGGAACGCAGTGGGGAGGGTTGTGCCCCCTCCTCTCCACTGACCAGTCGTCTGTCTGCCTAACCACATGATTCTGCACTCTGTGTTACGGATATACTTATGTTACCATGGTTACTCTGCCACCTCCACAGACCAGTGTTACTTTCTGGTTTAGAGATGAAGGTTTGAGAATTGGGTCATACATGTCCAGCAGTATTTCTCTGCTGACACTGGAAATCCACACTGACAGAGTAATACGATAGCATACCACATCACAGTGTGTTTGGCTAATGGCCTGCGCCCTAGGAGGACGCATACTCAATAGCCATTTATTGCTGGATGGTAATGTCAGCAACAGCAACAAGTTGCATTAGTTCTTTGCATTTTCCTCAAAACCACTCAGGTATAGTCCAACTTTCACAACCCATAGCAAAATCGGAATTTGAACCCATTTCTTTGAACTCCAAGTTGTTGTTGTTGTTGTTGTTTAATGGGTTGTAAACTCTTTAAAAGGAGGGGAAATTTAACACAGGAAAAGTTTCTAAAGCTCTGGGCCAGGGGTGAGGAACTCCTGGCCCACAGACTTTATAAGGCTCACGAACTCACATGGTCTGGCCCTGCCAAGACAGTCTCAGGTGGGACTTGAAATTCAGTGATTCTATAGCAGGCTCATTTAAGTTGATAGTTTCGTATGGTCCGAGAATGATGTAAATACCCTAGTGGCCCTCGGCAGAAAGAAGGTGCCTCATCCCGGCTAGGCTGTTTACTCTGTGCGTTCACAAACCACGTGGTTGTCACGCCGTGCTGGGCACATTATAACCCTTAGGAAATAGTTTTTGTTTAACACAGGATAGAGACTGGAGAAGGAGTTACCTTGAAGGGAAGGAGGCAGATGAAAGAGCACTAACCTGAGAAATACTGGCCGTACAAACCCAACCTTTCTCCCTTCCACGTGACCTCACAGCCCCGGAATGAGAGGATGGGGAAACGGATGTGTCGAGTCCCGGGTCGGGGTGGAAAGAGAAGCCAGCTCAGTATGAGAGGAGAGGAGCCACAGGCCTGTGAAATTGAAGAAAGGACCACAGGCTGTCCTCGCTCCCTGGTCACAATATTCTACTCACAGTGCCTGAGATTCCTCAAAATTGAAATTGAGAACCGGGGAGTCCAGTGTCAGTCACATCAAAAGCACACATTGAGATGACTGGTGTGTCACAGGGTCCACATGCTGTCACTTCGTGCAAGGCTAGGGTGAGGCAGAATCCATTAAAGAGGAAGGTTCACCCGACTGTGATACGGGCTGCCATCCTGCCAGCACAAGCCCCAGCCAAGACAGATGTCACTGCAAGTGCAGCTTCCCCCTGTGTGATCAGCTGCCCGTGTCCAGCTGCATGGCGGGGATTTGTGGCCCTGCTGGGTGGTTAGCATCTGCCGTGAGAGGCACGATGGAAGTGCTGCACAGATTCCTTGGTTCTTTTTGGGTTTTTGTCTGTTTTCTAAGATTTATTTATTTATTTGAAAGGCAGAGTTACAGGGAGAGAGAGATCAGGCTTCTACCCACTCATGCACTCACCGAATGGCTGCAATGGCTGATACTGGATCAGGCTGAAACCAAGAGCCAGGAATTCCATCCTGGTTTCCCACACGGGGGGCAGGGACCCAAGTACTTGAGCCCAGGCATTAGCAGGGAGCTGGATTATAAGTGGAGCAGCTGGGACTCAAACGGCGCTCTGATAGGATATGCCAGTGTCCCAAGCAGCGACTTAACTAGCTGCAGCAGAGCGCTGGCCCCACTCCGTGGTTCTTTCACTGCATGTTTATCTGCCCCCACCCAGCTGAGCAGAGGTCTTTTTGGTCTTCTAATCTCTCTCCTGCTGTCCTTGAGCCTCCAAGGGAAGGCCTTGGACTTAGACTGTGTAGCCCATGGTGGTGCTCAGCAAATCCTGTTGACTCATATGATGCTGTTCTTTGCTCTCCGTCCGACCACTGAAGGGCTCCCCATTCACCGTGACGGTGAGGAGGAAGCACCGCCCACACCCAGGTGTATTTCATTGCTGTACCTTCTGCTCCAGTGGAGGACAGAAAACGGCTCGCTGTGCCTGTGGCGGGACCATGCCAGGTAAGGAGGACAGTCATTACCCTCTGGGCGCTGGGAACCAGGTGGCAGCTCCTCCACTACCGCCCGCCCGCCGCGAGGTTGAGGATGTCCAGAATGTCTCTAGGAAGTAGAGGCTGTGTATACAGAGGTCCCACTGCTCTAAAGTTCCACTAAGCTCCTCTGTTTTAAATGGAAGTGGCCGGCCTCGCAGAATTCCAAACGCAGCTGGGACTGGGGAGTGGATAACAAACCAAGTGAACTAGGTCTGGTTCTTCTGGTGGGAGAGGAGGGAAGGGAGGCCAGCCCAGGAAAGATATGTAATTATTTAAAAAAAAAAAAAGGTCTGAGGCCGGCGCTGTGGTGTAGTAGGTTAAGTCTCTGCCTGTGGCACTGGCATCCCATAAGGACCCTAGTTCAGGTCCCAGCTGTTCCACTTCTGATCCAGCTCCCTGCTAATGGCCAGGGAAAGCAGTGGAGGATGGCCCAAGTGCTTGGCCCCCTGCACCCTCATGGGAGATCCAGAGGAAGCTCCTGGCTCTGGGCTTCAGATTGGCACAGCTCCGGCCGTTGAGGCCATCTGGGGAGTGAACCAGTAGATGGAGGATCTCTCCCTCTCTCTCTGTAACTCTGCCTTTCAAATAAATAAATCTTTTTTTAAAAAAAATGAGGTCTAGCATGGGGGGCATATTATAAAATAGGCTCTTGCACACTTCAGCCTCCCCTCCCCCTTTTCCACCAGTCTCCTCTTCTTTTTTTCTTCAAACATTTTACAGTTCAAGTTCAAAATAATTCATCTCTTTCTTTTGGCAAATTTTTCTTGCAAGATTTATTTATTTATGTGAAAATCAGAGTTACAGAGAGAGGAGAGACAGAGGTCTCCCATCCACTGGTTCTCTCCCCAAATGCCTGCAGTGGCCAGAGCTGAGCCAGGGTGAAGCCAGGAACTGAGAGCTTCATCCGGGTCTCCCACATGAGTACAGCGGCCCAAGCACTTGTGCCATTTGCTGCTGCTTTCCCACGCGTATTAGCAGGGAACTGGATTGGAAGTGGAGCAGCTGAGACTCAGATCGGTGCTCACATGGGCTGTTGGCACCACAGGCAGCAGCTTAGCCCGCTGCACCGCAACACAGGCCCCGCATTTTACAACTGTTCTTAGAACTTTGGCTGTCGTCTGTCATGATGAGAGTCCCCACAGAAGAGGAGTCAGGTGGCTTGTTCCTCGTCAGGTTTTTCCTCATCTTCATTCTCAGGGGTCCACATGCTGCCAGGAGGTTTAACATCCATGGTAACTGCTGGGCTCTACTCCAATGGTTGTTTTTCTCTCCGTTCTTTGCATCACGCAGGTGGCTACCAAGGCTGTGGCCATGGACACAGAGGCCACCCAGGTCGTCCCCACTGGTCGTGCTGTGGAAAGTTTGCTGAGAAGTCCGAGTGCTCGTGCGCAGGCGGGCAGACTGCACCGAGGGGTCTGCTCAGGACCGTGGCGCTCTGACAGCCCTCTGGCTGTGGACTCAGAGCTGCAGCGGTGTGAATTCAGTTTATCAGAGGGGCCCCAGGCCTTGATTACTTCCGAGAGACAGAGAGAATTAAAAACAGAGTGCCTTATCGTACATCAGAGTCCAAGTGCTTTTTTGTGAGTTACTCACTGCTTTTTTGTGGATGGTTGCGAGCCAAAGACCTTTCTCTTGAAGGGTCGGTTATTCTACACCACAGGAGTCTCCTTTCTGTTTTGTACGAGTGTGGGGGTTTCTGTGCCTTTGGAATTTAGAGATCATGGCGAGCGTGTGTGTGTGTGTGTGTGTGTGTGTGTGTGTGTCAGGGGGAGGGGACTTAGTTTCCTAACTTCTGGTGCATTAGAACTTTGTTATTGCCTGAGCTACATATTAGCTATTTTCTCTCAGAGAATAAAATCTTTGATTCTGTGCACTTCTTGTTAGTACCCTTGCAGTGGCATCACTGGTACATTTCATGAACTTCCCAAGTGATTTTGCTGTTTCAGTGGGCGTCCCCTCTTCCCTCTCTACACGGCACTCACCCCTACCCTGAGCCTGGAAGATTACTGTTTGGTCAAGGGGTACACGTAGGAACTTAATAAAGGTGACGGTGTTGAACTAGAGCCCCATCCATTTACTGCAGTTCTGGTCATGCCAGGCAATCTAGATCTGCAGTCTCTTTATTTATGAGAGAGTACTCTTTGTTTTTGTCTGTATGAGGGGATTTCAAAAAGCTCAAGGAAAATGACATTAAACGATTATTTTGGTGCAAAAAAAAAAATTTGGAAACTCGTGCCTACTCCTAGGTGTGGAACGTCGGAGCTTTGAAGCTCGCAGCATACCTTCTTCGCTGCTAGAGAACGCTGGGGAGAGGCATGGTGTGGTGCCTCATCCCTGCCGCGTCTTCAGTGTTATGTGTTTTTGGGACTCTATTTCTTATAGAGAAATAAACTCAGTATGTATTAAATATAATTATTAAAATCTCCATCGTAAGATCCCTTAGGAAGAGAGCGACTCATGTTGAGCTGGGTCAGGCAAAGGGAGTGAAGTAACTAGGTGCTGTCCGATCGTGATAGAGTAATTTCCTCCTTGAGGCTCACGGGTGTGGAGCACATTGCAGCCGGACGTTCCAGGGTCCTCCCTACATTCTTACCCTTTTCTGGGAACATTTCTGTAAGCCCCTTTCTCTAACCAAAATCTGACCTTCCCACGAGGCACTGCTGCCCTGTCACCCTCTAGATGGTTAGCCTTTGCTCCGACACACTCCTGAGTCACTGAGCCGGAGGTCAGCAGTGCTTCTGCCCTCGTGGGAGACTGGGTTGCCACTGCTGGGGCAAGGTGCTGCACGTGGGTAGGTCAGGGTCTGCTGATCACAGTGCTCAGGACAGCTTCCCCAAACAGAACCAGTAAGTCCCAAAGGTCAGTTGAGGAAACCCATTCTAGATCATTAACTCTCCTTTCTAAAAATGGACTGCCTAGAGGCTCATGTCTTTAGACTATATAACTTACTATCGCTCCCTGGTTCAGCCATCTGTAGAGCCCCAAACAATGCCCCCGCGTTCCTTGAAGAGCATGGCACCTAGCTGGCTGTGTCTGCGGTTCTATTCCTTGTCAGTCTTGGGATAATTGCAGTTACACGGAATTCTTGGCTTTGTGGCCAGTCCCCCATGGTTTTTGCTTTACTCTAGCCGTATAACCACAGCCTAGACCTTAGTTCTAACTGCACCCTCTGCACAGGTTCAGTTTCAAGCATCCTATAATCACAGCCTCCCATCCTCCCAGCTCGCCCCTGTAACATCCTGACTTTACAAGTTCTGTCTTCTTAGACCTCACAACGCAGTGACGCCACTGCCTTCTCCCTGTTCCCCGCACCTCCCTCACGTCCTTTTCTTTATTTTTCCCAGCTTTGATTCAAAAATCACTGTTATCACTCTCTTGGGGATAGTCCCCTTCTGTCATTCCTGCCTGGCAAAACGGCAACCCAGATTAGCTGCAGCTCTCCATGTAGCCCCAGGGAGTGACCCTGCACAAGAACACAGTGCCTGCTGTCTAGTCTCACTGAAATGTATGGCCTAATTTCAGTGGACTTTTAGCCTTGCCCAAAGGCCTGATGTCTCACTAGTCCATTTATCCTCCCACTCTCCTAAACAGTCATTTCATACTTTCTTCTCCTCAATCCAATTTCAAACCCAACTCTCCTGTCCACTTAAGACCTTGCTTCATATTCCACCAAGAAAATAAAAGGATTCAGAAGACAATTTTCCTGCCCTCCTAAATTCTACCAGTCTACCTGTGTTCCTATGAAAAGCCAACTTCTACACTGTATGCTAGATTCCATTCCGGAACACTGCTCCAGTGCGCCCTGCTACCTCTACACACTGCAGTGCCCAATTCAGAAAATAAACATGATGGGGCCTGGCGCTGTGGCTTAGCAGGTTAAGTTTCCACCTGCAGCACCAGCATCCCATATAGGCACGGTTCAAGTCCCAGCTGCTCCACTATTTTTTTTTTAAGATTTTTATTTATTTATTGAGAGGTAGAGTTACAGACAGTGAGAGGAGAGATAGAAAGGTCTTCCTTTTGTTGGTTCACCCCCTAAACGGCCGCAACAGTCAGAGCTGCGCGTATCCAAAGCCAGGAGCCAGGAGCTTCTTCCAGGTCTCCCACGTAGGTGCAGGGGCCCAAGGACTTGGACCATCTTCTACTGCTTTCCCAGACTATAGCAGAGAGCTGGACTGCAAGTGGAGCAGCCAGGACTAGAACTGGCACCCATATGGGATGCCGGCGCTGCAGGTGGAGAATTAACCTGCACCACGGTGCCGGCCCCAGCTGTTCCACTTCTGATCCAGCTCCCTGTCAACGTGCCCGGGAAAGCAGTGGAAGATGGCCCGAGTGCTTGGGCCCCTGCAAACACGTGGGAGACCCAGAAGCTCCTGGTTCCTGGCCATTACAGCCATTTGGGGAGTGAACCAGAGGATGGAAGACCTCTCTCTCTCTCTGCCTCTCAAATAAATAAATTTTTAAAGAAAGAAACATTCTACAAGAATTCTATCTTAAAAGAAAAAACGCAAATTTTCCTTGATTTTTGCATTAGTCTTCATAGCCCCCATAACCACACCACAGACTGCGTAGCTTAATCCACAGTTCTGGAATCTGGAAGTCCACGTGGAGGGTGCTGGTAGGGTTGTGTCTGGTGAGGCCTCGCTCCTTGGCTTGCAGGTGGCAGCCTTCCTCTGAGTCCTCACGTGGCCTTTCCCCGTGTGCCTGTGCTCCTGGTCTCTCTTCCTCTTCTTACAAGGACACTAGTCCCTAGGGATTAGGGCCCCACCCTGACGACGCTATTTAATTATTTCCTTACAGGCCCTGTCTCCAAAAGCAGTCACACTGGCGATTAGCGCTCTAACCTATGCATTTTGGGGAAATAATCCAGTCCCTAACAAATGTACATCTCCTTTAGCAACCTCTCAGTGCTTCCTTTGTAAAAACACCTCACAAGAAGTGTTTGCCACCCTCACTCCTGGATCTAATCATCAGTCTCATGCCCAGACCTACACTGCGACAGCCCTTGTCAAGGTGACCAGTGGAGTCCAGTCACAGCATGCACAGGCCAGTTGTCCTTTTACCAGCCTTCATACACCTGGTAGCCTTCCTTTCCAGGAAACATTTCCCTCACCCAGTTTATGCAGCGTCACTCTTCTCAATTCTCCTATCTCGCTGGCTGTTGGGATCGCCTTGATAATCTGTCTTTACAAACCAGACTTCCCTTCTCCCAACACCCCAGTAATTGTCGCTTACCCAAAGACTACTTGGGAGACAATCTAGGCCTTCTCTTAAACCTTTTGGGTAAGTTGAATGCACCTGAGGGACCAGCCTTGCACCTCCCCATTACCTCAGACATCCAGGGAACTGCTTGCCATGAAGAGCTGGTGGTGTTACATCATCTTCCCATACATCTTTTAATGAACCTGATTTCAGAACAGGCTGAAAAAACCTCACTATTTATATTCAGTTGTTTCAGTAACTGGACAACACTACTCTGGAAAACTTGCTTAAGACATCTAGTGTCTGGCTAATGCCTTAGCCTTCAAGCAGTAGTAGGGGTAACGCTTCTGTTAAGATCTGAAGTTCCAGGGAGCGGGGCGGGGGCGCTGCCACTCCTTGGCCTGCACAATGGAGTGGATTCAACTGCCCTGCCAGCTGAGAGACCAGTGTGATTGATCTACAGGGCCCAAGGCTGCATGGTGAGGAAGGTGGAACTAGAGGATTTAGGAATTGCCTCAAAGGTGTGCCTCGGCAATCACCTTTGTGTTCTGATGTAAGTATGTCTCTGGTGTAACAGGTAAGAAAAAAGAGGCACAGGTTAGAGCGTCAGTCCCCTGGGATGTTCTAACAGGATAAACACCATCAGCCATCTTGGATGATGAACACACACATAAACCTGTCAGTCCACGGGCTCTCTGATCTCCACAGTACAGCTGGCGCTCAGCTTTGCCCGAGGACGTACACCTGGGCATTAGGTTTGATTGCATTAAGAGGTGGTTTTGATGAAGTGAGTGCTAAGTAGATGCAGAACATGGGAAAAGGCACTGCACTCTGCCTTGTTGGCTCCTACTTACTGATTTCAGTTTAGCACTTCTGCAAAGACCTCTGGTGCCAGGACACACCCATCTGTCAGCTTTGGCTCCACAAACCCTTCATCATAGCACTTGTCACCGCCCTGCCTCAAAGCCTTCCGTGGCTATTTTATTCCTGCCTGTCTTGCCTACCAGCCACGAGGCCTCAGGAGCACAGGACCAGGCTGGGTTTTGCCCCAGGGCCCAACAGTCCCTGGCACGGAGTAAATAGTCTTTATATATTTTTGAACTAATGTGTGAATAATTAAGCAACAGAAATGGGATTCTTGCTCTCCCTTCCTTTCATACATGATGTGCCTACAGCCAGATTTAGTGAGGACTCAAGATAGCAAATACATTGTATGGCTACGTACCCATCTCCCAGTTCCACCCTTAGCGGCTGGGCTGTTTTCAGCTCCATCTTCATTCTGAAACTACTGATTCCTGCAGTGCTTTGCACTGTAACTGGCCCCGATTTCATTTTCAGTTATGAAAACATTTTAACCCGGGTTATATGCCCAAGAATTCTGAGTTTGTTATCGTTATTTTTATGTCTGCAGGTCTGCTCTTTAGTTATTTCTGCCTTTTCCAAGGGCTAGAGGCTACACGACAAATGCTAGTACCACATCCCACCTTGTAAACCCAAGTCTCTCAAGGTCTTATGGTGGACGGCAAAATGTCAGGCCACACCGAGTGGGCACTGGTGTCCCTACGGTCATCCTAACAGTGCTGGAGGACCTGGCCTCACCTCCCAGCTACACGCCGCTTCACTGAGCAGGAGGGAATCAGAAAGAAGAAACAGCAGGGTGTTTAGAAACAGCCCTATCAAATCGCCATGCATGATCACTAAGGAAAAGGGTCCTGTCCCACAGAAACATAGTAATTCTTCGTACTGCTACTCCTAATGACTGCCTGGCGGTAAGAGTCCCGATGGCATCTCTGAAGGGCTCCTGGATTCCCAGCCACGGCACGCACCATGCTCTTGTTCGAGCAAGACAGCCAAAGCAGAGCCAAACTGAACCTTCCGCGAGGGTAACTGTCACACAGGAATCCTGTGTGAATTTGCTGCTCGGGAGCCTTGCGGTTTGCTGAGGAAGGTTCGCTACCTGGTTCTTCAGGCTGCGCTCGTGTTGCTGCCTCATCCTCTTATTCCCGGACTTTGTCCTCAGCAGTAACACTGGGACCTGCACGGCCCTTTACAGCCCAGAATCCTCGTAGCATCCCTGCTCATCTGGTGAGGCAGGCAGGCAGGCAGGCAGGTGTCGGAAGAAAATGCAGCAGCAGTGGTGCCACATGCAGGAAAGCGGGCTGGTGCTGCAGGGCTCGGCGCAGCACGTCGGTGAGGGCGCTGCACCGGGAGGTTGGCCGTGACTAGGGTGCGAAGACCCTCCTTGTCACAGCCAGACCCTCAGTAACTGCCCCACACGAACTAAAGAGAACACGAGCCTGAGACGAACACCAGAATGCCGCTTGTGTGCATTCGTAATGAGACGCTTCCATCTCAGGACCGGGACCGAAGAATACACTTTCAGTATATTCTACCCTTCTGGGACACTGGTGCCAACTTTCTCTGCATCCACATCACATCGATAGCCTCTCACCTACTTAAGACAATAATTATATGGCTCTGCCAACTTACAATCAGAACAAAATTAGAGAAATGGTTTAAGACACCTCTAGCAATCTACCTTCCCAGAGGTTACATTTGTCAATGGGCTGAGTATCTGGAAATTGTAGGTTGTAGGCTGTAATTCCTGAACTGTTCCAAACCCAAAGCCAGAATATTTGAACCTGAGAGTTAAGACTTCCTCTCCCCTAAACAGTGCTTTGGAACGGACACAGGTAACGGTCATCTCACTTACTTCTGATTGACATTACTAATCCATATCTATGTGGTCAACCAGGCTACAGTAAGCACACGTGCTGTGGAATATGAGATAGGAGGCTGTCTGAAAAAGTTCATGGAAAAGCAGAATTATTTTGGCACAAAAGAATTTTGCAATCAATGCAGTTTTTTCATAATACATGTTTTCCAGGAACTTTTGAAAACCCACACAGCCTACAGATGGAAGGCCTGAGATGCCCAAGGAATCTGTAACTAGCCTAATCTTGTACAGTCAGCAAATGGCTGAGCAGGGTTTGTACATTCTTCCTGGCTAGGAGCCACTGCTTTTGAGGTGACTCTATGTCGTGCTGGCCTAACAGCGTGATTTAAGAGGGCAACTGTACTTTCTTCACCTCCTGATTTTATCAGGGTCCACGCTGTAGCTGCTGAGTTCTGAAAACAATGCCCCCTCACAAATGAGGAAACGGAGCTGTGGAAGAGTTCACGATTCTTTCAAGGTTACAGCCCCAGAACTTGAATTAGGTCTAAGCTCTAGACCAGAACTCTCTCCACAGGGCAGTATCCTTCCTGTTGTAAGTCTCCTCACCTTGTCCTCAGGGGAATCTTTGCCCCAGTGCCTCCCTCAGTCCACGCTGTGACTGGGCTAACTCAGGGTTTCTCTCCTAAACCAAATGAAAGGAGGAAATATTTCTACTGAGGAAGAATTATGATTCTTTTTTTCCTTAAAAGATATATTTACTTGAACGGTAGAATTATAGGGCAAGAGGAGGGGAGACAGAAAAAGAGAAGGCTTCCATCCACTGGTTTACTCCCCAAACGGCCACAACAGGCAGGACCTAGAAGGCAGCCTAGAGGCTAACTAGGACAGTAACGTGGAAGACGGCAGTGACCACTGGGAGACAGAGTCGCTGAGTAGCCAGGAGGAAAAGGAAATGGGGTGAACATATGGCATTGTCTTTGCTACCTGGTCAAAGACATTTATTAAATCATATCAATGATAATACAAACACTAAAGGATACAGTGGTATAACTACTAAACAACACAACAAAATGCTGAAAATACTAAATGAAATGATACTAAATTCTACAAATACTGTAAATTTGTAATAAAAATTATACAAATATTAAATTGTATGATACAAATATTACATATGAAATACTCAATGGTGTAATGATACCAAATGACACAAATGCTAAATGACACAGTGATAATCAATACTAAGTGGCACACACACTGATATCAAGATGATACATTACTAAATGACACACTGATCCCGGATGATACAATTATGCTCAACATCTGTCTATACATGAGGGGACTTCAGAAAGTTCAGAGAAATGTATATTATGAAAAAGTACACAGATTTCAAAATATTTTTGCAACAAAATAAACATCTTTTATGAATTCCATATTCTGTGAGCTTTCTGAAGTACCCTCATGCAAAGCACCCCCTGTTCAGCCTGAGAGCTGCACAGGAACAGCCGGCTGGCCACAGCGATCCACCCTGCCCATCCACCAGGAGATGGTTCTGCGGGCAGTGTCCTGGGCAAGCTGAGAGAGAGATGGGTGCAGGCCGTGTTAGAGCAGGTAACAACGGCGGCTCTCCCAACAGCTGAGAAAAAGGAAATGGGATGTTCTGGTCTCCACCGGACCTTATATACATTTCTGCCAGTGGTTTCCAAAATGACCCAACTCCAAAGTGCTTAAAAACCAACTGGTTCCCATGCAGTTCATTAAACATGTTGATTGATTAGCCAATAGGGTACCCTCAGTTCTAGGGATAAGATCATGCCTCATTTTGAGGAGGTGAATGGGCTACCAAGAACAGCACTCAAGGATCATGGTTAGGTGGCCAGTCCCAGATCCCAACACAAGCCAGCAATGGCATTGTTATGTGCCCTGAAAACAAGGTTAGATGCCAAAAAGGACTTTGAGGTCCGCCAAGGTGAGCTTGGTGACAGATTCTGCAGATCCTGATAGAACCTGTTTGGCCAAATCCTTCTTTTTCTCTTGGAGCTGCAAGATCTTCTCTTCCACTGTTCCCTCACACACAAATCTAAAAAACAAATGATGGTTTTGATTTGTAAACTAACAAAAACCCAAAGCAGCATATCTAATATCATCCAGGCTTCTATTATGCTTTAGTTTGTAAATGAGCTTACTTCAAGTTTTCTAGGTTTAGTTGAGAATGTCATGTTTTGGGGGCCAGCGCTGTGGCATAGTGGGTAAAGCCGCCGCCTGCAGTGCCAGCATCGCATTATGCGCGCTGGTTCGAGACCCAGCTGCTCCACTTCCGAGCTAGCTCTCTGCTATGGCCTGGGAAAGCAGTAGAAGATGGCCCAAGTCCTTGGGCCCCTGCACCCACGTGGGAGACTCAGAAGAAGCTCCTGGCTCCTGGCTTCGTATCGGCGCAGCTCCGGCCATTGCTGCCAATTGGGGAGTGAACCAGTGGATGGAAGACCTCTCTCTCTCTCTCTGCCTCTCTTTCTCTGTGTAACTCTGACTTTCAAATAAATAAAATATTTTTTAAAAAAGAATGCCATGTTTAGGGGATCCAAATAACCTTGATTAAACACATGTCCACTTAATGGACTCAGACTGACTTTTAATTTCTTTCTTTCTTTCCTTCTCTCATTCTTAGATTTATTTACTTATTTGAAAGTCAGAATTCCAGAGAGGGGGGAAGCGAAAAAGAGAGATCTGTTGTCTGCTTGTTCACTATCCAGATGGCCACAACAGCCAGGGCTGGGCCAGGCCAAAGCCAGGCGCCAGAAGCTTCATCAGAGGAGACCCTACATGGGTGACAGGGCCCAAACCCTTGGGCCTTTGGGCCATCTTCCACTGCTTTTTTCCAGACCATTAACAAAAAGCTGGATCAGAAGTGTAGCAGTCAGGACACAAACCAGCACCCAAATGGGATGCCAGCATCACAGGCGGCTTTACCTGCTACATCATAATGCTGGGCCCTTAATTTCTTTCTACAATTAAGGTAATTAAGAAAACCCAAATATGCAAAAGCAAAGAGATCCAGTTTTCACATAAGTTCTATTTGATAGTCCAAGGCCTCAAAGGTTACCAAGTTTCTGCTAGGTATGTGCAAGATGGTTTTAAGAACAGTGTCTAATTTCTTGGCTGTTTCATACTGAAAACAGGGTTTTCAAATGAAGAAGATGCCATTCTGTCATTCTTTCAATCATTCAACAAGTACTTGATTAAGTACTTGGTATTTATCATGTACCATGCGATGTGTGGGACTTGAGAGATGAATGGTTTTGCTCTGCAGACAGACATGAAAATTAAACAAGAATAATATGATCTGGTTAGTGCTATACCAGAAGTATGCCCAACGTGCAAATGAAGGGAAAAGAAATCTGCCCAAGGCAGTCAGAGCAGGCTCCGTTACGGAGTAAAGGGTTAGCTCTTAATGTGTGACTTGTAGGATGAGCAAAGGTTTTCCAGAAGGAAGACTGGGAGGGGAATGCGGAGTGCTGTGCATGTCATCTCAGACACGCAGAGTTTATCCTAAAGTGAGAGCCACTGAAGAAGGAGAACAGTGGGATGACAGGAGTCACTACAGCTGGAGAAAGGAGGTGGCAGTGGGGAGGGGATGGCTATCAGGAATACTTAGAAAATACAGTGACTAGGTCTGGCATGTGAGAAGTGAGAAAGACGCAGGATCTAGTTTCTGGCTATAGATTAGAGAAACAGGGATACTATTCCTAACAACAAGAAATACAGAAGAATGTGCAGACTCAAGGTGTTAGGAGGAAAGAAAAAATTTCAGTTTGAGTCCCTGGAACATGTAATTGTACTTGCTACATAGTGGTGCTCAATAGGTATGAGTCTTAGGAGCTGAACCCATGAATGAATGAGTAATTGATGAGACCGTGGGCACTCGGAGTCAGATATTTGGCAGAGGTCTGTATATCCAGGTCTGAAGGTTAGGAGTCCTTGGATCTGGAGATACAGATTTTGGACTTATTGGAGCTGACAGAGTTTTTAAGGGAAGGGCACGCAGAATGAGCCGAGGTGAAGGCAGGAAAGCTAACACAGTCACTGTATTCGCGAATTTTGGGGTCTCAGGTCCCCCTTTACAAGAGCAGTTTCAGTGGAGCCACAGTGAAGCCTGGGAGTGCATGGGAGATACACGAGTACAGGCAGGAGGTCATTTCCAATCCTCCAGGAACCTTGGTCACGAAAAGGAAGAAGGAAGAGAGGGCCATCGAGAGAGTGGACCACAGCACTGCAGCAGGTTTTGTTGTGGATTTAAAGACAGGAGGGTCTCAGAGGAAGGGTCTGCACATAGTCAGCACTATAACCAGCTCCCCAAAAACGTCAGCGTCGTGACACACACAGACAGACTGAGGGAGTGTCCTGGATCGAGGGGACAAAGTCATGACCACAGCACACGCACATCTGGACTTCCTATTGCTGTGACCGCAAAGGACATCTCTGGGCCTGCAGACCAGGGAACAGCAGTGTGTTGTTAACACCTTCACTTTGGCCATCTTTTTTCATAGTTATATAAGAGATCGGCCTTATTTTTAGGAAATGCACACTAAGGTTCTTAGGAATAAAGGGGCATCATGTCTTCAACTTACTTTCAAGTAGTCCAGAAAGAAGTTTATGCACACATGCACATATAGGCAGAATGTGCACATTTCTTGTACTATTCATGTCACTATTCTGTGTGTCTGAAATTCAAAGTTCAAAGCAAAAAGACAGAGAAGAGGATCCTTTCATGGGCCACCTTGACCGAGACACGGTTCGCCATCACACACAGTGATGTTGGCAGTGACCAACTCCAGGCTGCTTGGCCTGGTTGCTCCTCTGGCTCCTGAGTGCCGCTGGCCTGAGGGTGGTGCCTCAGGAGCCTCGGCGGTAAGGTGATCACCGTGGACCTCACCGTCTATTACAACACTTCCCAAGAAGGACCTGCAGCAAAGCAGAGCTGGGAGGGGCCGTGGGGACCTTCACTTGCCTGTGAATGACAACATCTTTCTGCTGCCCGACTCGGTAAATCCGGTCGCAAGCTTGATCCTCAAGTGATGGATTCCTGTTGGAGAGAGTTAAAGCTCAAAGGTGCTGACATCCCAGGCCAGGGTGGCACACAATGGCCTAGGGGCCAGACCCAGCACACAGCCAGTTTTTGTGTGATTCTTGAGCTACGAACTTAAGAAACCAAAGCGAAACGCAAAGAATATGTCACAGAGAACTATGTGGCCTACAAAGGCTAAATAGGCCCAAGAAAGACCAGTGAGAAATCATCTCAGACTCTAACAAGAAATTGGGGTCAGACTGTGAATAACTGCTAGCACCTACCATCAATTGACAATAATAAGTAATGTAGGGGAAAATCAGAATTCAATTCTGGTTCTATTCTATTCCAGCTAGCTGGATGACCTTGGACGAGTTACGTAACCACAAGGCTCTGGATTTCTCCCTGCAAATGTGAAGGCAAAGAATCTTGAATACTCACCTTTCTCACACTCTCGTATTCTGTAATTCAACTAAGGAGACTTAACTTGTTTCCTTCTTTATAGAGTCACATTATCACTCCAAATCAGGCTATTTTACTATTGAACCCTTATATTTTGTCCTATCTTATAAACAAGATTATCAAATTAAAATTTAACCAAGTCTATGAAATCTAATATCTAAATTATAATGCGTAATTATAATTTCATGAGCTATATTATCATTTTTATTAGGTAATTATATGTAATTATTTGTCAGTCTTTGGGGAAATTGTCTTGAGGTTGGATAGTCGCAGGCTAACTCAAAAGGCACTGATATCACTTTCTTGGTTATCTTTAGTTGAAGAGTATAGCTAAATTATATATAACTTTTCTACCACCTGTTAACTATCAGTGTAAAAGTAATAAAAAATGAAAATTACAAAAAAAAAAAAACCTCTTTAGAACCCTGGATGATATTCTCCAACTCAGAAAACCACATAATCTCTGTATGCTTTCTCCTCTCTCAGATGTAGGGGAGCTCAAGTCAGACACAACATTCTCCAGGCTGGCCTGTTTGTACCAATTTGGGCTTCCTGGAGACTTCAACCAATGACAATCCCAAGCAGTGGTGTCTGCAGCCCTTGACTGGTCCAATTAAAAAACCAGACACTGGTGCTAAGAAGACTTTTCCCTTGGCAACCCAAGAACTCAGGAAGGATGTCTTGTGCTCCTGGTGTTGACATACATGCAACAAAGCCAAGGGCTCTGTATTTAGTGTATTTCTAACATACTTAGAAAATTCTTTCTCCCTTGGGAGTAATGCTTCTCCTCCTTCTTTAAGATTAAGTATCCTTGGATCTCAACAAATATGTCTAGATTACAGTATTCTGGAGAAGAGGTAAAATTAGGTGATGTCAGCTCCTAGCCAGGAGGAAAGCTGTGCTCCCAGTTTCCATGGCAACAGATTTGTTACATTAACAATCAAGTGAATGAACTATTTTCAGTAGTCATTTGAAGCCTTGCTTGCTCAGGTCAGCTAGACCTTCACTCTGCTTAGGAATGCTTCTAGACCTGCAGGCACCGAGGCAGCTCCATGACCCAGAGCTCCCTCACCATAGGAGCACTCTCATCAGTAGTGCTCACCACCCCTCTAGCCCACTGGCCTTCCTGCCATGCTCGGACAACTCAAGAAACATCCAGCATTATTACCAGTGCATGTCCAAAAGAAAGAGATGGTTTCCTCCAGTCAGGTTTAGACCAACACCTCCAGCCAAGAGAGAGATCAGCATAACCTTCAAAAGGAAACACACCATTAACTTTATATAGACTTGTTCTCCCAAACATCTCTCTTCTGCCTCAGGTTCAAGTCCAAGATCAATACAGATGAACAATGTCTTCCTTAGCAAATTTCCTTCAGCTTTTTTTTTTTAAATGTTACCACTGACAAATCTTTTTTTTTTTTAAGATTTTATTTATTTATTTGAGAGGCAGAGTTGCAGAGAGAGGGAGAGACAAAGGTCTTCCATCAGCTGGTTCACTCTCCAAATGGTTGCAATAGCTGGGGTTGGGCCAGAATGAAGCCAGGAGCCAGGAAATTCAATTTAGTCTACCACATAGGTGTTAGGGTCCCAAGCACTTGGGCCACCTTACACTACTTTCCCAGGTGCATTAGCAGGGAGCTGGATCAGAAGCAGAGCAGCCAGGACTCAAACTGCCACTCTGCCATTGCAAGTGGAGGCCTAACATGCTGCGCCACGATGCCAGCCACTAGGCTGTGAATATCTTTGAGTTACTATACAACTCTCTGCAAACTATTTGTTTCTTATTATACAGCTCTGATGTGACCAGCTCGTACCTGAGGGCCACTGGAGCGGTTAAATGCCTCCACCAAATCCATTCTCTGTTTGGGGTTGACGGAGCCATCGATGGTGGCGTAAGTCAGGCCATGCCTCTTGAGGTGCAGTGCTACAACTTTCAGCATGCTGGTCCACTGAGAGACAATAACACTGGAAAGAAGGACAAAATTAAAACCCATGCCTCCAAAATACATTAAACAAACCCACTGCAGGGCTTTAATGCCCTTGGCATTCTGCTGCCAAGGGGAAAGGCATCCATTGGGGTCACAGTATAAGATTCTAATGCTTTTAGTTATTTCTAGGTCCATTCTATAGCTTTGTTGTGCTGATATCAGAAAAGAAAAAAAAAAAAAAGCAGTAGCTAAAGTGACATCCCTAGCCCTCCTTTCATCAGGGACCCAGTGCTCACGCAGAGACCTGTGGGCCCACAGGGACGGGACACCGGCCCCTCCCTGCGCCAGCCAGAACAGCAAGCTGCTAGTGCTGCCCTGGCCCCAGCTGTGGTGTCATTGGTTTCACATTTTCAGATGTAAGTATTTCATATACACACATGCAGATGTATGACAGCCAGGTAACGCATAACAACTGACGAAACAAACCCCCAAGTATCCGAGCACCCGATCAAGACGTCACCAGCCCTGCTGGAGCGCCCTCACTGAGTTTGCCGTCACACCCCTGCTTTGGTTCCCATGCTTCTCTCCTGTGAGAGTTTCTGCAGAAGCCTGGCTCACCCTGACTCTCCAGGGATGGCCTCTTCAATCTGTGCCACAAATACTTTAATTAGAAATCACAGGGCATTTGTGCTATGACCTCAGCGCTCTCTGCTGAGCACGACTCAGGTCCTTGATGTACAGAGACAGGATTTGTGACTATCAGCAATACCAATTTTTCTTACTTAATTACAACCAATGTCTGTCTGGATAATGAAATAATTCACGTACCTCTTTTGGGACTTTGAATTGCTTCGGATGGCCTCCAGTTCTGCCAACAGAGATGCTATCTGGGAAAAGTGTAGTACATTAACAGTGTAGTTTAAATAATTCATTTTTCTCCATCTTCTTACCTAAATTACTCAGTCTCCTGGATTGCCTCTATGCTCTGCTCTGGTTGTTTTTATTTCTTTGCATTTATTTGTTTGAGAGGCAGAGAGACAGAGAGAGCTCCCATTCACTGGTTCACTCCCCAAATGTCTGAAACCACCAAGGCTGGGCTTGGGCCAAACCCAGGAGCCAGGAACTTAATCTAAGACTCCCACATGGGTGAGAGGAACTCAGTCACTTGAGCCAGCAGCGCTGCCTTCAGGGTGTGTATTAGCAGGAAGCTGGAGTCAGAAGCAGAGCCAGGAATCAAACCCAAGCATTGGGATGTGGGACGCAGGTGCTTTAACTGCTAGGTTAAATGCCCTTCCTCTATGTGTCTCTATTTCACTTTCCTCTCGGCATCCAGAAAGCTATTTCTAAACTGTCTGTCAAGTTACTTCCTGGAGGAAGCCCCTTCCACAGCTTCCTGCTGAGGAAAAAGCCCGAGCTCCTTAAAAAATGCTGCATCATGGGGCAGGCATGCTGACACAGCAGGTCAGGCTGCCACTTCGGATGCCCACATCCCATATCAAAATGCCAGTTTGAGTCATGGCTTCTCTACTTCTGATCTAGCTACCTGCGAATGCATCCTGGGAAACAGCAGATGACATTAAAAAATAATAAAATAAGGCCAGCACCGTGGCTCACTAGCCTAATCCTCTACCTGTGGTGCCAGCACACCGGGTTCTAGTCCCGGTTGGGGTGCCGGATTCTGTCCCAGTTGCCCCTCTTCCAGTCCAGCTCTCTGCTGTGGCCTGGGAGTGCAGTGGAGGATGACCCAAGTGCTTGGGCCCTGCACCCACATGGGAGACCAGGAAAAGCACCTGGCTCCTGGCTTCGGTCAGCACGGTGTGCTGGCCACAGCGCATCGGCCGTAGTGGACATTGTGGGGGCGGGGGGGAGGTGAACCAATGGAAAAGGAAGACCTTTCTCTGTCTCTCTCTCGCTCTCACTGTCCACTCTGCCTGTCAAAAAAAAAAAAAATCATTTTGTTCACTTTGAAAAAAAAAAAAAAGAGCTAGATCCCTGCTGTTCTGACCCCTGCTTACCTCCCACTATACCCTTCTCAAACGACACCTTAACTATACCAGATTGTGCTTTCAATAAGCCACACCTCATCTCATCTTTGTCCACTCAGTTCTCTCTCCCTGGAACAGCTGTCTCCATGTCTGCTTAAGGTCACTTCTTCTTGGATGTCTTCCCCAACCCCCAAAGTATGGATTAGGTGCCCACTGCCTCTGTACTATTTCCATTACCACGGTTCCTGTGACACCATATACTAAATGCTTATTAATCACGTCCTGCTTCCTAACTTCAGACGCTCCAAGAAAGCAAGGGCAGCACATGTCTGGGGCCTAGCCCGCAGCACCTTGCAGGAACAGAGAGGGTATTATCTTAATATCTGCAGAAGAAGCTGAAAGCGCTTTTTCTACTTGAAGACCTACTCCAAATGTTGCTGGGGAAGAAGAGGAACCGGCCAGTCGGCTGCTGAAGCTCCCAAAGCAGCTCTCCGGTTATTTACCAGAACCTGAGGATGCGTTCAAGTCCACATGGGGCCTGACTCAGAAGGCAGCAGGGTTCACTCTTCTGACTGGTCTTATGAATGACCTTTCAAGGCCTCTGAGGGGCCTGGCATGCATGCCCAGAAGGGCAGAGGAGGAAGAAAACTGCACCAGGACAGATTGGGAGACAAATGAGTATAGTTCCTATCCTGCCACCACATGGAACCCAGGTTCCTTAGAAATAAGGAGATAAACTCTGAGGGACCCCCGGGATCCCACATTTTAGGCTGTCATCAGTACAGTGGCAACCTAGAGGGCTCCACGGCATGAGGCGGCGTCAGTCGTAACCAACATTCTGACGCCGGGGCCAAAAGCGCAGCACAGGACTGCACCGTCTGAAGAGGCAGGGGGAAGAGCAGGTGCACTTCTCTCTAAGCTACGGGCAGTGCACAGACACTGAAGACACTGGCGTTTCGACAGCTTGGGATGGTGGAAGGTGCCGCGATGCCGCGTGCAAAAGCTGGAGGGCTGGATTCATTGTTCATGAGATGGAGTCAGATTCTTTTTTTTTTTTAATCATTTTTTTCTTAAGATTTATTTATTTATTTGAAAGAGTTACACACAAAGAGGAGAGGCAGAGAGAGACCGAGAGGTCCTCTATCCGCTGATTCGTTCCCCAACTGGCCACAATGGCCGGAGCTAAGCCGATCCAAAGCTGGGAGCCAGGAGCTTCCTCCGGGTCTCCCACATGGGTGCAACGGCCCATGGCCTTGGGCTATCCTCTTCCGCCCTTCCAGGCCACAGCAGAGAGCTATATCGGAAGTGGAGCAGCCGGGACTCAAACTAGCACCCATATGATATGCTGGCACTGCAGGCGGCGGCTTTACCCACTATGCCACAGCACTGGCCCCTGGAGTCAGATTCTGGTGAGAAGATACCTTCCCTATTTCAAACAACCTTAAACAGTTTGAACTATTGCTAATGGGCGTACAGTAAGAAGCCTTGTGAATGTTATTGCCCGAGTATTAAACAAGGAGCACTAAACTATTTAACTCAATAGCTGGCTCTAAAAGCCCCGGAATGTGAACTCCGACCACATGCGGTGCTTGTTAGGTTTCTCTGTTATCCACAGCCGAGACCCGGGGAAATGCTTCAGAATCTTAATTAAAAGGCATTTCTTCTCTTAAATGATACCATTCTCCTGGCAGCGACCTCCTTTCCCATTACAATTTTTTCAAAAAGCCTTTCAAGAGAGAGGCTGAGACTACGAATGGCCGAGCCGCTTTCAGGGCACACAGGGTAATGGTGCACATTCCAAGCCAACAGAAGGGCAGGACTCAGGTTTCAGCAGAGCTGAGGCCTCCTAACTCTGCGGCCTTCAAAGCGCTGATGAAAATAGAACAGGATGACTAATGAAGACGGGAGGTCCTGCGGGGAAACAACCCTCACAGATGGAGGCCTTTCAACAAGCCACAGCCATGGGCGCTCGCGTGTATTACATAGCCCCGAGGGTCAAGCCTTTTTGGTTTTCCTTTCAAGCTTTCCCTAAACAAATTGCTCACTCCCTTAGGCCCGTCCCTAGTTTAAACGTAGCAGGCTCCTCCAGTGATCCATGACAGAAAACCTGCCTCGATGCTGGCCGGTGCTGTCCCAAATCTCTCTCTCACTGCCCACTCTGCAATAAAGCTTCCGGGTTATTCACGAAATGAAATGAGGAGCTGATCAGCCAAAGTCTGAGAGTTCCAGCACTGTGATCAAATGGCTGTAAGCCACTTGAAGTGCCTTCATACAGGAAAATGCACAAGGGTTCCAGGTCCCTACCAGAACATGGTGACCCAAGTACCTTGGTGCTCTCGCGTGTGTCTTCAAAAAGCTCCACCTTGAAGCAGGTGCCATTAAGGGAAACCGTAGGCGATGGGACTGGATCATGGAGTTCGGACAAGGTCAAAGCGCTGAGCTGCTCTTCCAGGGATAGGACAAGGCCTTCGCTCTTCAGTTCTGTTGGGTCCAGGGCCTGAGCAGAATGAAGAGCAGGGACAGGAGCAGCTGGGCAGTTGAGGAAGCAAGACTTACTGCTTGCTGATGAGGTTCTCGCTGTATGACATCACACATGGCAAGATGTCTTAAAATTCCTCATCAGTCAATCCCCAGAGAAACCCTGATCCTATAGGTTGTTTTTTTTTTTTTTTAACTAGATTACAGATAAAACAAACGATGGAACTTTTTTAAAGACTTGCCAGATTGCACAATTCTGTATTTCCCACCTAAAGCAAGTCAATTAAGCTGTTGATAGTCAACACACACCACCATGGATCCGGGAACATACTTCCCTTTCCAGTGCAAAGGTAACTTTTCACTTTCTATAATGACTTGGGTTTTATACAGAAAAGCCTACCTGAATACTACCTGAAGGCAGAAAACACCAATAGCTAAATTAACTTGGTGACATTCTGAAATACCAAAAAGCATTCAGAAGTGGTTTCCTTTTGAAAAAAAAAATGCCATTTTCCATTCTAAAACAAAAGAAACAATAAGGATACACTGTTCTCATGCCATGGGAATTATCAAGATTAATAAGACTGACAGAATAAATACATGCCCCTCCTCCATGCCCCACCAGGAAATCCAGAACAGCGCTTCCCCTGCCCAGCAGCCTGGATCCCTGCCACGGGAGACTGAAACTGCTTTCTCCAGTGGCTTCCCTGGGCCAGGCAGGGGCTTCTCTTACCGACTTCAGTAAAGAAAGATGACAGCAACATTGGCGGAGTCTCAGCAACTGGGACAGTATGTGGACGGTGCTGGACCTCGGTGAGTCTGCTGCCATGGAGGATCCTGGCCCACTGGACCCAAACTCCTGGGCCACTTCCAGGAGGGAGAACAAACCACAGGATTTAACACAGACAGATACCAGGAAGACAGGGAATGAATGCACGCTATTTTAAACTTGTTGGTATCCAATAATATAGTATAGTTATAACTTACTTCTAGACCAAGTAAGCCAAGTGAAAAACTGGTTTTCCTTATAAACTCACCTGTAGTTTAATGAGGCAGATTTACAAAATAAGCAAAAAGAAGTTCTGATCCTAGGTATGGCGAGTATATTTCACTCTGGTTTGAGGTTCCTTGCTAAGGTCAAGTCTCTGACACCAAAGATTCATAGCTCCCATTTCGGTTACGCAGCCCATTGTTATCGGCCTTACGTATTGTGAGCATTCCACAGCTTACCTCTGCTGAACGGATTATCAGGACTTCTTCCTGATAGGCTGCTTCCACTCTCATGTCGTTTTAGATAGGACTGCAGAGCTGACCTGCCTCACATCAAAAAAGCAAAGCCATGGATAATGTTTGCTAAGATCAGACAGGTTTACAATGGCCACTCCTCCACTGTGCTTGTGCCGGGGCCTTGGCAAATTATAGCAATGGACTTATTAAATGCTGCCAATCCTACAGCAAGCATTGGCCAAAGGTAACGCCCAAAAAACAATTATTTTAAAAACCCAAACCATTTTCCCAAATGAGCTAATAAGTATAAGGTAAGAAAACAGAAAAAAAAAATACATCTACATTGGAAATGAGAGGTATCAGGTGGGAGAGAATTAAGCTGGAATTCGGAAGACAAGAGCTCTAGAGAAAGTGCTAAAAACAGACAATATGAAGGATAGCAAGGCAGCTTTTTAAGTGTCAGTGAGATGCTGGATGACAGGTCAAAGGTCAGATTCAGTGTATATTGTCCCTCCCACCCCCTGTGACATCTATGCCAGGAAGTCAATGAGGAATAGGTTCAAAATTTTGCCTCCAGTGTGTCTATGACACACAATGGCAGAAGGAGGGAGAGAGGAAGAACCAAAGGAAAAAAATAAAAGAATACAGATACCAAACTTATCAATAATACCAGAAAAAATAGTTTATGGAAATTTGACCCTTGATTCACGTTTAATGAAAGATAGGAATAAAGCAACAATACCAATGGAAGGGGTTTCTTCATTGCACATACCTTGATCTTGCAAAAAAGACATTGTAAACAGTCTCTTCATCTTCGGAAAGCTCTAAACGGTGCAACTGAAATTTACGCTGGGGCAGGGTCACCTGGAAGAGTGAAAAAAAAAAAAAAAGAAAAACTGGCACAAACCTACATAAATTAACTGAAGTTTGCAAAGTAAATTCCCCAGATTGACACTGGAAACCTAGCCAACCCTGGGGGAGCAGCTACCACCCTTGCCTACACCCAGGCCCACTCTGACTACAGCACAAGGGCGCCGTTGTAACTGAGGCACCAGACGACAACTGGGGGTTCCAGGTTCCGGAAGCACAGCAGACAGCTGCTGTCCAAGCCAAGGCACACACCCCCTTCCCCTGGCCGCCACGGGGCAGGAACACATCTGCTTACCAAAGGCCTGCCAGAGGAATCCAGTTGGTCTTTTGTTCTCCTCAGCAAAAGGCTCTTGGTTAAAATACTTAACCGTTCTCCTCCTTTCTTTGAACCATTGTCAACCTGACTTTTCCACAGATTGAAATCGTCAAATGGAGAACAACGAAGAAATCTTTTGTGTTGTGGACGGAGGGCAGAGTGGGGAAGGGGCAATAGAGGAGAAAAGAGTGAAGGTTCAAAGTGAGATACAACATGAAAAACAAATCAGATTTTCTGTTACATCTGTCATCTGATCATTTTTAAAACTGCATTTCATAGCAAAGCTCTCTATTAACCTGATCAAAAGGATCCCAGTCAATAATGAAAACCACATTTTAAAAATGTAAGATTTCCCATTAACAATGTCTATATCCTCACAACAAGACATACAGCCAGTAGTTAGAATTTATTCCTAAAGCTTTAAAGGTTAGCAAAGACATTCCACATCCTGTTATGGGCTAACTTGAACAACAGGAAGTATTTTAAAATCAGCATTCTTTTCTCTTTGCTTCAAATAAATTGGAGGGCAGACCCAAACATTCACTGGACTAAAGAAAGATGACTTTTGTTTCCCTTAATTCCACCTGTCCTGTGTTTTTGCCTATGTAGGGGCTGGATGTAATCAAAGTCCTAGATCAGGCAGTCAATCCACAGATCCCATCTCATAAATATTAATTCTCCTGCTCTCTAAAGGTTGACAGCCTTGCCATCTGCTCCACGAGATCATCTGGCACACACTGGAGTCATCGTGAGATAGGAAGTTACTCACTTCAGCAGGGAATACATATCCAGCAAGTTGTTTTGAATGGGGGTTCCAGTGACAGCCCAACGGGCATGCGCCTTCAGCTTACACACAGCTATCGACGTTTGCACGCGGGGATTCTTAACATTGTGAGCTTCATCCAATATGATCCGAGCCCAGACTACTCCAAGCAAAGGTGTTGAAATGCCCTGGAAGAAATACAAGGGAAACCCAAAAACAATAAGGACGATGTACATATCTTCAAGGAGATAAGGAGAAGTACAAGCAGATATTGAGGATTCAGTTTTAACTTCAGATTTGTTTAGATCAGCTACGCTAAACAGGAGTTAAAAAACCAAGAGTAGGGAACAGGTGTTTAGCAGTTAAGACGCTCATGTACCACATCAGAGTGCCTGGGTTTGATATCTGACTCCAACTTCCTGCTAAAGCAGACCCTGGGAGGAAGCAGAGATGGCTCAAGTAACTGGATTCCTGCCACCCATGTGGGGAACCTGGACTGAGTTCCTGGCTCCGGCCTCCAGCCCTGCCCTGGCCCCAGCTCCAGCTGACCTTTATGGGAATCTGGAGGGTAAACCAGCAGATGGAGCTCACTTTCTTCTGTCTCTCTCTCTCTGGCTTTCAAATTAATTATTTATTTATTTTTCACAAAAAAGAAGCCAAGAGTAGGAATGCAGTTTCAAATCAATAAATAACTTGAAAGTCTCAGTCCTCCAGCTTAAGATGCCAAAGAATAAAGGATTTTTTAGAAAGTTTTCATTTATTCTCTCAAGCCACATTTGAGCAACAGCCACAGGTAAGGACTACATTGTGCTGAGTCTGCAAATTCACTCACTCAATAAAATATTTAGTAAATCTCACTAAGAGTCCCTACAACCGTTCTAAAGGTCCTTTTTTTTTTTTTTTTTTTTTTTTTTTTTTTTGACAGGCAGAGTGGACAGTGAGAGAGAGAGACAGAGAGAAAGGTCTTCCTTTGCCGTTGGTTCACCCTCCAATGGCCGCTGCGGCCGGCGCACCGCGCTGATCCGATGGCAGGAGCCAGGTACTTATCCTGGTCTCCCATGGGGTGCAGGGCCCAAGCACTTGGGCCATCCTCCACTGCACTCCCTGGCCACAGCAGAGAGCTGGCCTGGAAGAGGGGCAACCGGGACAGAATCCGGTGCCCCACCGGGACTAGAACCTGGTGTGCCGGCGCCGCAAGGCGGAGGATTAGCCTAGTGAGCCGCAGCGCCGGCTTTAAAGGTCCACTTTTAGATGTAAGGTACTAAGCCAGACATAAAGGACATTTCCGACTCAAGAAGCTCAGACTCCAGCAGTGGGGACCTAGCTGAGCTTGTCCACGCTGCATCCCTGACACTGACACCACATCGGATACCCTGAGGATGCTCAGTACTCGCTGAACAAATGCAGCGCCACGACCTGCATAAACACGAGGTACTACCGGAGGCATTCACTCGAACTCTGGTAGGGTGGGAAGAGTAATCCAGACAGGATTCTTGAAGCAGAACAAACAAACATAAAACTACCCCAGGAAGAGGGGTGGAGAAGCCCTCGCACTCAGAGGGAGAACGAGGGAGGAGAGTGTGCAGAGCCCTGCGGGAGCTCCAGATCCCCTGGTGCGGAAGGGCCCCAGGCGGGCACAGGGTGTGGGAGGGGAGAGGGCACCTCAGGAAGGCAAGGTCATCAGGACCTACTGCAGCATGTACAGGAATGCTGAGTTTATCCTGAGAGCAATGGCGAGTCCCTGACGCATCTGGAAAAGTTCTTAATCTGGGGGAAGTCAGATCGGTCACAATCTGGAGAAGCCTTCTAGAGATCTTCCCAAATGCAGAAATCTCTGAACACTTTATTGTACTGAAAATAAGAGCTCACACAGAGGATCAGTCCTTGGATGTCGCTGCATCTCTGAGGGGGGAGGCCTCACAGTATTCACAGCACACAGCTGAGATGGCCTGGGATCCCCTGGCAAAGTCTGAGGGGTTTGTGGCTATCATTTAGCTTCTGCCCCTTGGGTAGCCCTGTTGTTTGCAAGTGCTTTTTCTGGGAAGCAGAGGAGAGGCGGGAAATGATATCTTAATATCAAGATAAAAAGTGTATGAGACTATGTCCCAAACACTCTAAAATAAAAACAGCAGCGGGAGGCTTCGCTATATTTATGCGTTACCACCACACTGCAATGCAGTCATCTCTGGTTCTGAAACATAGCTGAACACTGCGCCGAGCATCAGCCCTATCACTGAATGGCCATCTAGAGCGTGAGAGATTGGACACAGGGAGGACAGTCGTTCCACAGGAAGCACATCTGCAGCATTCCTGCCCTCACAGGAAGGTACCTTTGCCGCCTCCAAGGCTATAAATAGACTCCCGTCACATGGTGTGTGGCTTAAAAGACTCCACCTCCCTACCTCCCCCAAGCCTCACCTCCACACTGAGCTGTGCTCCTGGGACCTCGCCCTCCTGCTTCTTTGTGGGAATCTCCTTGGCCACAAGGCTATAGGTAGTGATCACAACGTCGTACGTCGAGAGGCTGCGTAGATACAACACAGAGCAAATGGTAAACAATCCTTCTACAGACTGGGACAACTAGAGAGATGGAGATGATCACTTCACAAAGATGCCTATGGCTGGAAAGACAGAGAGCAGCATTCATTAACTTTTGTCTCTCTCTCTCTCTCTTTCTGTCACATACACAAACACACACAGACACACACACACACACAATGTTGGAGACATTAAGTTCCCCCAGTTGGCTTCCCTATCTCTCACTTCTGATCAATTTTACAATCTACACACCTCACTATAGCTAGACTAGCCTCCCTCTTCCCATCTAATGAGTCAGAAAAGCAAATCTCTGGCTAGTGGGGGTATAGCTCAGTGGTAGAGCATTTGACTGCAGATCTCTGGCAAGGGTCATATTAAGCTGGATATGCTTTGGCCACAATAGCAGGTGGGATAGGGTTGGGAATACACATTTAATACTGGTTTGAGATGGATGACTCTACAGTCTCAGGGAAGAAAGAAACCCTCAAAGCACTGTTCACTTTATACCATTGGTGCTTCCCGCAGCCCCTCCCCACCAACCGCCATGCCCCCAGCCCACTCCTCTACAGTGGATTTGTGAAAACCAATTTGTTTGGCTTTCACATAAGCTTTCAGTTTACCTTGCCTATATTCTTTACATGTAAAGATTCTTAACTGAAGCTTAATATTGTATATTTCAGAGAACTTCAGTAAACATTTTTGATAAAAATGACATGCAAGGTCTACAAGTTGCCTAAGGATCACAACAAGTGAGAATAATCAGGAATGATTACAGTCAGCCACACGTTGAGCACCCCAACTCGAAAATCTAAAACCCAAAATGTTCTCAAAACTGACACTTTGAGTGTTAACATTACAAAATTATCTATGTAAATATTCCAAAACCTGGAAAATTTCAAAGTCCAAAACACTTGAGGACGTAGGCATCAGACGTAGGCAGCATATTCTGGATTTCAGACCAGTCATCCTCAAAATGCAAACTAAGTGGGAGCCAATCTACTTCTCCATGAAAATTCAGAACCAAGGCAGGCCCCACATAGTACTCCACGCTGGGGAGGGCCTGCACATCCCAGAGGCCGTCCTGGTACCTTTTGTCTGCTGTGGGGCCCACCAGTAGACAGAGGGAGTGTTCCTGGGCCGAGGGTCCCCAGTCAGGTAGTTTACTCCTGCAGGACTGCTGCCCTGTTCTTCAGCAGATAAAACAGCCACTATCAGAGGCTGGGGGCAGAGATTCCTTAGTAGCAGCAACAACTATGTTCTCATCCTTGATTCGAGCAGCAAGGATTCAACCCGGATCCTCACATCACAGTTACGACAGAAAATAACTCCTCTAAAACAAAAACACAGTGGGGCCAGGGCTGTGGTGTAGCCTGCACTGCCGGCATCCCATAGGGGTGCCAGGTTGGGTCCCGGCGGCTCCACTTCCTATCTGGCTCTCTGCTATGGCCTGGGAAAGCAGTGGAAGATGGCCCAAGTCCTTCAGAAAACCTGGAGGAAGCTTGGCCACTTAGGCCAATTAGGGGAGTGAATCAGTGGTTGGAGGACCTCTCTCTCTCTCTGCCTCTCCTTCTCTCTCTGTGTAACTCTGACTTTCAAAATAAATACATCTTAAAAAAAAAAAAGAAAGAAAAAAAAATAACTCAGATTCCATCTGGAGAAACATTTCCTTTCTTCTACCCTGAGCATCCCCCTTCAGGAATTTACGGTTGGGTCTAATCACCCCCCACACAAGCCTAAAGCTTCTTACATGTGTGAAAAATACAGCCATAAAAATACATATATAATCAGCCAAGGGCAACTGACCACTAGTATTATATCAAGATGCTCTGTAAGATGGGGCTGGTTCCATTCCCACTAACAGAAAAAGAACGTGAACTGGGAATCAGAATTTGGCCACCATGCTTGCAATACAGCTTCTACCAGGGAATGCTGCTGCCACCTGGCTGGTAACCCAGGGACCTCAGGCCTCCCGACATGGGAGCTTTTTTGGGGGACTGTGACAAAGGACAGAGCAAAAGACCACTTGCTCTCCCAGTACAGGGTATAGGTTGTTTAATGTCCCAGATATCATGAGGCTTGACTAAGCGAAAAATCAGAGAGCAGGAAAGTCCACAGGGGCTGAACACCTGCGAGCCTGCACGTGACACTTCTGCACTTACACTTTGGCGTGCTGGTTCCGGTTGGGCCCGTGGTAGAGGTAGACTCTCAGTCTGCTGCTCTTCACACGTTTCTCTACCTCATTCTTCCAGTGATGGATCAGGGAAGCAGGGCAGATGATCAGTGTCCCATGGGAGACAAAGTCAGCGGAGTCTTGAGAGGGGGGGGAACATCAATGCCTCGTTACACTCATTAGATAGCCTGTAACTTCTTAAAGCATTACCCTTTCTCTTGACTGGCTTTACTCTTACAATCAATATTGTTAGCTGTTGTTCTTAATTCTACACACAGCCTCTCTAGAATAGGATATGCAGGAGATGGCCTTTTAAAGCAAAACAATTAATGATTTATTTTCTCTTATAAAACTGTCAGAGAGAAAAGCTAAAGAAGACAGTGGGTAGTGTCCAAGACACAACGCACTTTCACCTGGCCGCAGGTAGAAGGCTAGACTGTTCCCTAACCCTCCCGAGTCGATTCTTTGTGAGTATTGTTATTTTTTTCAGAAAAGTATAACATTATCCTTCCGCATTAAAATATACATACAAAACCCTTTCTAAGGTGTGCAAACCTTACTTTGGAAGCAGGGAGTGATGGAGTACTAGTGCCATCGCCCCTCATCTGTGTGTGTACACGTCCCTCTGCACACAGGGGACAGGAGCCAGCAGCAACAGCGGTCACTGGAGGCCCTGAGAGCACATGGCCATGGACGTTTTATCTGTGTAACCCCCTGAGAGCTGTCCTTGTGCACATGATGACTTACTAGCAGTGTTATCTATGTGTAACAAATATGACCTTTAAGGTACTTCCAACATTATTACACTTTAAAAACATAGAGTAAGAAATCATCTATAATCTGGAAAAGCCTGAAATTTCAGAAGCATGGAAAACAGCTTCTGCTATGGTGCCTAAAATGTGAATTTGTGGTAGATCCTTAAAAAAATAATACACTAATTAATTTGGATGTACCCTGTAGTTATATCTTCAACAAGAACAAAAATAATAATTACTATGCTTAAACTAAGTCTTCTAGAGCCTTAGCTTTCTCCCTAAATTATTTTAATCACAGACCAATCTAATTTTATTTTAAAAGGAAAAGAAATAATCACTTATAATTAGCATACTGCAGATCAGAAATAATATCATAAGAAAGTAATCTAATTCTGGTTTTCCAGCAAATAAATTAAATATGACCAAGGCGTAGCTTAACAATTCCTCTTCTCTGCTGGCTCAAATGATACAGGAACAAGGCACTTTTTCCTACCGTCTTTAGAAAGCCATGTCAAAGCCACATTTTTGTCCTTTTCTTTCTTTGTCTCTTGACTATTTTGGGTCAGGATGAGGGCAATCATTGTCAGGGTTTTTCCCAAACCCATATCATCCGCTGGAAAATAAGAACAAAATTAAAGGATTAATTACGTACGGCAAAGAATCAGCACAAGTACAAGAGAAGCCATCACTGGTTCCTATGGTCTCAGTCCCACTCCAGTCCCTCTGCTCTGCCCATCCTGACGGATTCTTTCTCTTCCTTACTCAAGTGAACTCCACCTCTAAAAATTTATTTTGAGATCTAGATCAAAGATATTTACTACAACTCACATAAAATCTAAAACTAATAATTTGGATCTTTCTCTAGCCTCCATGTCATATTGTTACCTACCTAAACATAGTGATTGATATCTATTCCAGTTTGACGGTGTTGCTTAGTCTTTATCTGTTGACTCCAAAAGCAAACAAAACTCCAGTAGATATACCCTACCCCCTCCTCTACTGGTGCTAGCACATCCATGGGGTTAAGCTAACTCGAAACAATCCCCTTAACTTAACCATCAGAGAAGGACGTAAAGGGCATTTCTTGGGTACTGTCATTGCGCTTGTCACCGAGTTTATCTAATTTAACATTTACATCCTATAGATGTATGCATGCTCATTTTAACAGATTATGACACTGAGGCTTGGTCATCAAGATACTAAATTTACCCAACATAATCACTGACATAAGGCACGTACAATGCCAGAGCATGGGCTCTATCCAAATCGTGGCTCTGCCACTGTGCTGAAGGTTAACACAGCAAGCCTGTCTGCTGTCCTTTGAAAGACCTGCTCACTAAGTTGGATTTGGCTGCCATTTAGGGAGAGTCCTCACTATTTAAGAACTGATGGGAGTAGCTTACTCTGCCGAAACTGTACCAACAATACAGCTTATGCTGACCACCCGCTTTCCTCCTGGGATTTTGGTATATGCCAGGCTAAATAAAGCTATGTGCCCAGCCCCCAGTAAAAGCCATGGGCACCGGATCTCTAACAGGCTTCTCTGGTGAGGATCACTTCACTGGGAGAGTTAAGCAGGACCTGTGTGCCTCTGCTCTGGACTCCGGAAGCTTGTGCTGGCTTCCCCTGGATTGGGCCCTGTGAGCCTCTTTGTGCTGACTTGGCTCTGAATCCTTTCACTGTAATAAATGACAGCCATGAGCATGACTATGCGATGAGTTTTTCTAGCAAATCAGTGAGCCTGGGGGTGGGCTTGAGGACCCCAACACAGTCACTTAATAGCCAATGAGGACGCTGTCATGTTTTCTAAAGGGAGCACCTTGGAGAACTTTAGCCTGACAAGTCCCCAAGCAGAATGGAAAACTTTCCCTTCTATCTTCTGTGACAACTAAGGCAATGGCCATGTGGCCCGGCTTTTTATACCAGGTGCACTCACACCTCCACTTACTCCACCTACCACTTACTCCAATGTAAGTGGTACTGGAAACAGGCTCCCTGGAAGTCCTTTCTACAGGAAGCGGTGGGGGTGGAGTGTCTGACCCTGAGGTGACAATGGTTTCCTTTGCTGCTGCTTGAAGCAAAGGAGCCATACCGCTTTCCTAGGACACCCAGTTTGTGACATGGCTGTGGCCACTGCTCCTGGAAATGCGGCCTCCAGCCTGGCACTCCACATCTCCCAGAGACTTGGGGGCCACCACAGAATAGACACCTCCTCTGCTTACTCAGCCAAACTTGGCTGCTGCTGCTTGCAACCAACACCTCTGATCACACAGCTATGGGAGTCTGATCAAGCTAAGCATTTCTATACCTGTTCCCCATCTGTGAAATAAGAGATTATTGTACCTGCCACACAGGGCTGTTGAGAGGACCTAATGAAACAACACAGAGTATTAGCGCACCAGCATTCCATGAAATGCGGGCACTTACCTCAATAGCAGACTTACCCAGAATTCCTCCTTGTGGCTTCTGACTTTCCCGCCAGAGTAACCAGGCCAATGCCTGCTTCTGGTGCAGCAGCAGAGGGACCTGACAAGGGTAATCACCAGATGGAAGGGCAATTCCTGCTGAGAGGCCCAGGCAGATGGGGGCTCCACGAACCCTGCACTCCTCCATCTTCTGCAAGCGCTGCCCTCGATACTCTAGCTGTCAGCGTATGAGCCGCTCGTCCCACCATGAGGTCCCCTCACCCGCTCCCTCTCATCCAGGGCACCCTCCGACCGGGTCACTCTGCTCGCGTTTACGTTCTGGTTTACAGCAAATGCCCAGCAGGACTATTAAGAGGCCCTCACCCCCTCTGCAGCGAGATTCCCAGTTTGTCTGCTGAATCTCTACTGCTCGCCACCAAGACCTCTGACAGGCCACCCTCTTTCAGCAGCCATTCCGTGGGTGTTTGCTGATCGTCTCTTAACTGGGCTCGCCTCTCTGTAGTCGCCCCAGTCTGTACTGCTGGTCACAGATTTCAGTAACCTAGATGCAGTCTCTCTCGCAGGCCCTTTGTAGTCCAGTTAGCCCTGGACTCTGAGAAAACCTTCACAAAACATCCCTGCTCGAAATGTCACAGTGACTCCATGATGTTGTCAAGCTATTCACATCTAAGTCCCTTTGCCAATGCCACGCTCCTCAGAGAGGGGGTCCTCCTCTTCAGTGCCATCACCTGCCCCTCCCAGCACGGGTACTGATGACACCTGATCATCACTTATTATCTCATCTCTGTATCCTCCTCTAACCGCCATTCCCTCTATTTGCAGCCTTTTGTTACTACCCTCCCTGCTGTCTGGAAGGTGTGTAGTTCCTCTCAGGCACAAAGTAGGCAGGCCACAAATAACGAGTGGCCTACAGAGGGACTTTGCCTTTATTCTGAATCCTTTCTGTACTTTGTATGCAGTCTATGTATGTTGCAATATGCACTTCATCTTACACTAAGGTCACTCCCTGTTTTACATATGTGGTACATGCACGTTCACCCCAACTAGTCCCTATCAACAGCAATTCTTCTGCATGCTTGTAGCATCAACCAAAACTCAATACATGCATCCTTGACTGCTACAGAAATGTATAATGTTATGAACTATCTGACAGGGTTTTTGCTATTGTTCCCACTGCTCAACATGAAAGGAGCAAACACTGCAAGGAAAGTCGCCATCTATCCGTGGAAAAGACGTATCCAGATGGCGCTCGGCCGGGACACTCGCAGTGGCGTCTCCTCAGGGGCGCCACTCCGCCTCGGTCTGCCCGGGCTCACCTTCAGCCCAGCCGGATCTTCTGCCTCAGCTGTCTCTCCAGGACGGGACTCGAGGGATCGATGCAGCTCATCGATGGCTTCACTGGTGATCTTCCACACTGCGTGAAGGCAATCTTGGTTCTTGTGGCCTGCATACAAAGAGGTGTTACCCAAACGTGTCTCAAGAACTGTGTCCCGGCCAGAGCTGCAAAGAGGCAAGGAATTCTTGGCCCCGTGATGGATCAGAGTTGTGTAAAAATTCTTGCCTGGAGACTCGCCTAGTCTCACAGGCTCCTCTCTCCCCACCTGCTGTTTCTAAAATCACATCAACTATTATTACACTACAGGACAAAATAACAGAAAGTATAAGGACAAGAACAAGCTAACCCATGGTATTTTTGATGGCTCTTTTTAGCACTAAAGAAATGGCGCAAAAAAGGCAATGGTATCCGGTATTTTAGGAAAGAAACATCCCTGGAATTGGATGCAAAGAAGGAAAAGTCAGCGACAGAAAAGGCCACGTGTGGGCCCCGAGCTCACTGCAGTGTACTGGGAAATACTTCAGCATTGCCAACCCACTCATTCCACACAGAGAACATCTACAGCAACGAGTTAACAACTATGGGCCCTCGGCTCTTTATAATTTTAGGGATGAAGTATTCCAAATAAGAGGTTTCTAAACAAATGAAAAAATATTAAAATGTTTTAAAATGAAAAACTACTCGTATGGACTTCTTTCCAAAACAAGTCACACACATCCTTGCCTTAATAATCTAACATGACTTAATTTTCCCTAGGTGACTCAGGCCCTCAAAATCATTCCTGAGCAGCTGAGAGTGCTACACTACTTAAGGAAGTATGTTTTCTCTTTTCCCTTTTACAGTGACCTTAGCTTCAAATGGCACTGAGTCTACTGCTCATCGCTCTTGCTAGCTACTGCTCTCAACTCTACATCCCTAGCAGGTCTCAGCTGGGAGGGAACTGGCTCTGGCTTTTCCAGTCACTGCCGGCCAACCTATGCTCCCGTCTCCCAATCAGCAAACCAACCAATCATAGCAAACACTCATGTTTAAGGCTCTACTTGGGATCTTCGTTCTGCAGCTACTTTTCTCCCTCCCTCCCTCCCCCCTCTCTCCCTCCCTTCCTTCCTTCCTGAGATTTATTCATTGATTTGAAAGGCAGAGCAATAGAGAAAGGGAGATCATCCATCTGCTGGTTCACTCTCCAAATGGCCTCAACAGCCAGGCTTGTGCCAGGCCAAACCAGGGGCCTGGAACTCCATCCTGGTCTCCCGCATGGGTGGCAAGGATCCAAATACTTGGGTCATCATCGATTGCCTTCTCAGATGCATCAGCAGGAAGTTGGCCCAGAAGCAGAGGAGCGAGGAATTGAACCAGTTCTCCAATATGGGATGCCGGTGCTGTTGCAACCAGCGGCTTAACCCACTGCACCACAACACCAGCTACCATTCTGCAGTTACTTCTGAATTCAAAGTTGTCTGGAAAGTTCAGGATGGAAGCACATAGCTGAACTGGATGCTAATGCTCTCTGTGGGTCTATTATCATTCTTCACCCATGTCACTCCTCTATTCTGCCTTAGAACACACACACACACACTCAAACACACAATCTCACACACACACTATCTACTCGTCTACCTACCTCATAAAACCAGGAACCACAGCTCTCACCTACAGATACCGACTGCATGACTCCTGTGTGCTGGCCACTGGGCTGACTGATCAGCATTCAGTAGTGAACAGGCAGTCTCTGTCCCCTCCGAGATCTAAGTAACACTGTGCAAAGCTCTACTCATCTCATTCTTCATCATTTGGGCAACTTACAACTCAAGAATGGCTTCTCCTTCACATGGCAGAGACAGCAATAGGTAGCACTGAAATCACAAGTGTTCACAGCAGGAGCAGGCCCTTGGATCTTACCTCCACAGGACTGACCTGGTTCTCCAGCGGTGTTTAGTCCTAGAGAACCCACAGGTTGGAGATCACGACCCGGAAGTGGTAGGGGAGGCACCAAGTGGGGAGGGTCAGTGGTAGTTTTGGTGAAGTTACTCGGTTGTGGTACGTGAGTGTTGCTCTTCTCATCAGTTCCTGTTCAAGAAACAACGAAAGAGGTTAAAGTTCAGAAAAGAAAAGGGACTACAGGTGTAGATGGGGAGGTCAAGAGAGGGTGGAATCACCGTTCCAGTGAGCTGGGCTTCCTAGAGAACACAGTATTTTAACAGGTGCTTAATCAATGGGAAAGAGAGCTTACGGCACAGGAAATAGGAGAAAGTTTTTATAAATCACAGTGCAACTTAAAAGCAAGCTCAGAAGGAGACACTGAAATGGAACGGTGAATAAATCAACACATTCTTCATCAAAGTGGCCTCCCAAAAGTTAGAGCAAGGCTGGTTCTGGAACAGAGCTCATTTTACCTTGTTCTGGGGAGAGGGCAAGAGCGCCGAGTGCTTCCTCCAGCGCCTGTATTTGCTTGAACAACTTCTGACCCTTGTCTGGAAGAGCCTGGATGTTCACGGATGCCAGTGTGCTCTGAAAAACAGACCCAGGAAAATGCATCTCTCCCTCCGCTCAAGGTGTTAGAGGGATAGCTTCGGATCAAAGTAGCCTCCACTGCCAAAACTCATTCCCAAATGACAGGAAAAGTAAGTGTTCAGGATTTCAGGATATTTTTTCAGATTGTGGAATATTTGCATACATGAGGGAGCTTCAAAAAATTCATAAAAAATTAAATTATGATGTACATTTTCCATGAACTTTTTAAAGGCCCCTCATATAAGATATCTTGGGAATGAGACGTAAGTGGAAACACCAAATTCACTTATGTTTCATATACACCTTCTACACATAGCCTTGACATAATTTAACTTTTAACATATTTATTTATTTATTTGAGAGGCTGAGACACAGAGAGAGAGAGGAGGGTGAGGAGCTCCAACTGCTGGTTCACTCCCCAAATGCCAACAGATGCCCAGGGCTCAAATGGGAAGCCTAGAACTTGATCCAGGTCTCAGACATAGGTAGCAGGAGCTCAGTCATTTGAGCCATCACTACTGCTTCCCAGGTCCTCCATAGCAGAAGGCTAGAATCAGGAGCCAGGGTGGGTACTGAACCTACAAACCAGACACACTATTTTTAAGGTACCTGCATTTTGACTGTGAACTGTCACATGAGGTCAGGTGTGAAATTTTCCACTTGTGGCATCACATCAGTATTCAAAAAATTGGGGAGAGATTTCGAATTTCAGGTTTCTGCATTAGAAATAACCTGTAGACGCTAAACATCCACCTGTGAAAGCTTCATACGAATACACTCCAGCCTTCCCCGAGGGGCTCATATCTGCCCACAGCAAGCAGTGCTCAGACCTCTGGCACGAAACACACATGCAACGTTACCTTCTTCTGTCTCAGTTGTGTTGTCAGGTGCACGCGCTGGGCTGCAGGGTCGGAGGGTTCCATTTGCTTGGAAACTGAGGCAGGAGAGAGTTTTCTCTCCACGCTCGGGGCAGGGAGTTGAAGGCTCTGCTTCTTCTCTGAGTTTGGAGCCGTGTCAAAGAGTAAGGGGCTGCCTGGATGAGAGCCGACAAAAACAACGTCATCCTCTTGCTCGCTGTCGTCACTGCTGGTGGCAGCTCGGCGCCCCTCTCGTGGGGACAGCCGTGGAGCTGCCTGTCCTTCGGGGGCAGGCACCGGCGTGTCGGACTGTGGCTGGGAACGCCCCAGGGGCAGCCCATTCTGGAGAGACTGGGCTGGAGGATCGCCGGGAGCCTTTGTTCTGCCAGCCTCCGGGTTCCGGGGGAGCTCCTTGCGGAGGCAGCCGCCTGCCTGGGGCTGGGCCACTGGGCTCGGATGGTGAACCTTCGGAGGAAAAGCCCGAGTGTCCTTTACTCCTGGAAGCCCCGATTCTTTCTGGACACCTTGACTCTCACCAGCTGACTTTTCCCGGGGAGGCGCAGATGGTCTGCTCGGCTCAGTTCCCCGACACTGCTTGGATTTCATTTCAGAAAAGTTTCTGCTGTGCGTGCCTTCAGTCTCCTTGGCCATGTGCTGAAACGGCTTCTTTCTCTCCTCGGGCTTCTTCCCTTGAACTACAGATTGTTGTGTCTTCATCACCAGGCCAGATGAGAGATCTTTCTCCAGCCGGCAATCAGATCCGGGCTTCTGTTCCTTCTTTTGATCCAAGAGCTCGCCAGTCTTTTCCTTCGGCTTCTTGGCAGCCATCTTTCCCTCACCGTCCCCTTTGAGGAACTGCTTCCAGAGACCCGGTTCTTGATTCTTGTCCAGCACCTTGAATGGGTTTCGTGGTTGGCTGTAAGGATGAGGGCATGGCTCCAGAGCACGCTGAGACGTGCTGGTTACAGAACGTTCCTTGTAAGTAGGATCCTGAAGACAATGGAAGTAAGTAGAATTGATATAAAATAGAATATATTTTAAGAGGAAATGGAAACACCAAAAGCAGTCCAATATTTCTGCATCTAGAAGATACTATATGCCCAATTTACAAATTTTTAGTTTCTTAACCATATTTTCCACTCTTGGTTCCTGCTTTGTCCATGATCACGATTTCTAAGCCTCAAGGAGAAGTAGAGAGCAAACTGAAGTGCTTTTACTATCCCAATAGCCACAATTTATACTTTTCAGGAAAACTAATCTTTCAAAATGAACTTTTCCCCAAACCTAAATATTGTCCTAGTACGCTAGTTTTGATTTTGGCTTCAAGAAGATTTCATTGAGGGAATCTAGAATCTCAAGTTCAAGGCACACCTCTGCCCAAAGACATCTCACTATCTCCCTCAGTTCTTCATATACCAAATATCTGCTGGGCCTCTCCTAGTTCTGACATGCTAGCAGCTAATTCATGCCAATATCAACTAGATATAGATCTACAAAAAGATGCTGTAGTTGGTCAAGATTCTCTTGCTAAATACTGACTGCCTTAAAATCCTTGAAAAATATTTAAAGAAGTAAAAATAGGAGGCAAATAATTGGTCCTCTGAATTACCAGTTCCACTAAGGTCTAGCTTGCTTAAAGAAAACTCTTGCTGAGTCAGGCTAATGAAGACCCACCAGTTCATATGGACTTCAAGGTCTTTCCAGGTGATGCCACATATTAAAAAATCATAACAGATCTGAAAACAGATGAGCAATTCCTACCTGCCAGGGGACATTTCCACACCAGTGCTTCCCCTCTGCCTTACTCCTAGTGCATCGGAAGAACAACCTAACAAAGCACAAAACACAAGTAATCAAGGCTGTGAAAAGCCGTTACAGCAAGAGACATGCTTATTATTAACCGAAGACTTACCACTACTTGATACTGTCTTCAGGAGAGCATTCGGAACCAGTTACTCTTACATGTACAAAAAATAATTCTTGCTGCACAGAACATTCATAAGGGCTAAGTTAAAGAATAAAGATGGCATGGTAACCAGAGAGTATGTACACATGCATTCCTTTTACTCTATGAAGAATGACCAAGGGGTGAGTGTTTAGCTTAGCAGTTAAGATACTGGTTAGCATACTTGCATCCCAATAAAACACCTAGATTTGATATGAGGCACTGCCTCCTGACTCCAGCATCCTGCCAATAGAGACACTAGGAGATAATGGTGATGGCTAAAGTGACTGGTTCCTGGCCACCTACAGGGGAGACCTGAATTGAGCTCCCCGTTCTAGGGTTCAGCCCTCACAAGGGCTTGTTGCAGGCATTTGGGGAATGAACCAACAGACGGGAGTTATCTTTGTCTCTGTTTCTCTCAAATAAATAAATAACCCTTTTACAGAATGACTGAAATGGAGAGATAATTAGCAGTGGCTGCCAAAATCAAAAAGGGAGAAATAACCAGGCATTGTTTGTCCCTGAAGGAAGGCTACATACTACCTATAAAGTGATGTTGCAAAAACATCCCAGCCAAGCTAAACCAAAAAAAAAGCTAACCTGAATCTGGTCAAACCTCTAGATCCAATTACTAGTTTATAGAAAATACAAACAGAGGAACACAGAAAATTGAAACACTGGAAATACAATCTCCAAAATGTTGACAGTGTGGGAACTATAGACAAACCACCTACCTCCTTCAAGAAAAAAAGGACGAGAGAAAAAATATGGAGAGGAAACTTAACAGACTTCAAAGTGATATTAATCAACTGCAATTTGTGAATCATATTTGGATATTAATTTAAGCAAATAAAAATTAAAACTAACAAAAAAGATTTATGGCATTTATGAATCTACTGGTAGTTGTTACACTAACTGATATTTTTTAAAAAGGAGCCCATATCTTTTAGGCCTACATACTGAAATATTTGCAGATGCAATTATATTAGTTGGGATTTATTTCAAATATGGCAAAAGTAGGTAGGGTATATATGGAACAGAATTAGTCAAGAGTTGGTCATTGTCAAAGCTCATGTGCTGTATAATCCTTTCCTGTCTACTTGTGTACATATTTACTATCTTCAATTAAAAAAAAATACAAACTTGCATCCCATTGCAAGTTTTGTATAAAGATAGCTGGTACCCCAGCAAGAGATACTACACTGCTCTGAGCCCTGAGTGAGCCACCCGTTCTCCAGCTCACCAGACTTCACATGTATGCCTCTCTCGATCCAAAGGACGTTCTCTTTATCCCTATTCATTTGCTCCCATCTGCAGCTGATGAAGTCCCACCAATCCCTGACAGCCCCTGCCCACGTCACTCCCCTTCTGCAGATTTCCCCACTCTTCATGGGTCATCTTCAGAATCCCTTCTGTAATTTTGCTGTATTTCCTTGCACTACATTTGCATATGCTTGTCTACCCAACCATCTTTTCAGCAACTAGAAGACAACAGCCACGTAAGATCTCTTTATTCCTGGCTATGTTTTGCCTTTTTTTTTTTTAATGACACCTGTGGAAGCTATCTTTAAATTAATCTGACAGTACATCACTTACTACATTTAAACAAATATGATCCAAACACTTACATTAAGATAGATCTTCAATGCTAGACATGTTGTCACAATAAAAGCCTTTATAAGAAAGGGCCATCTTAATTTATCATGTCAACCTGAAAACTGGAATGCTAAATCAATACACTGAGATGTCCCTTGTGTCCTGTACCTTTTAATTATCAACTCCTCAATCCTGGACTGACTCTTTATGTTATCAATACCCTCATCACCTTTACCTCTCTTACTTATCATACTCCTTCTTAAATGTATCAAAATTCACACAGAACAGTGAGTTCTGAGTGGTAAAAGAGTATTTGTCTTTTGTACCTGTCCACAAGTCTTTGTCCACAGTTAAATGCTTGCCTTTTGTATACAGTGGTTAAACACTGCTGAATAAAACAGAATTGAGTGTTTTTTTTTTTATGGCTTAACACAGTTCCTAAAAACATTTTATCAGTTAAACAACAGCTTTTAAAATGCATTTTTTAAAGTAGGCAATGTAGTCAGTCAAAAAGTATACAATAGGCAGTGAAAGGCACCCTCCATTCCATATCTGCCTACTCACCTCCCTCTCAGCACATAGCCACTCTTATCATCTTTTTGTTTACCTCTAGAGAGATTCTTAAGTGCATACTCAGGTCAATAGAGATACATATACATGATTTCTTCCTCTGCTATGGAAATGGTTAAGTTAGTATTTATACTATAGGTGGAACAGCCCTACTCTGAAAACACAAAATCCAAACTGTTCCCAAACCTGAACACTTCAACACATCAACATGATCCAGAAACTGGAAAAATTCAGTACCACGAAACTATTCCTACACAAAATTATTACAAGCAGTGTGTACAACTATTTTTGGGCTATGTGCATACAATATACATGAAACAGGGAATTTCATGTTTAGATTTAGATACCCGGCCGGCGCTGCGGCTCACTAGGCTAATCCTCCGCCTTGCGGCGCCGGCACACCGGGTTCTAGTCCTGGTCGGGGCACCGGATTCTGTCCCAGTTGTCCCTCTTCCAGGCCAGCTCTCTGCTGTGGCCAGGGAGTGCAGTGGAGGATGGCCCAAGTACTTGGGCCCTGCACCCCATGGGAGACCAGGATAAGTACCTGGCTTCTGCCATCGGATCAGCGCAGTGCGCCAGCCGCAGCACGCTGGCCGTGGCGGTCATTGGAAGGTGAACCAACAGCAAAGGAAGACCTTTCTCTCTGTCTCTCTCTCTCTCTCACTGTCCACTCTGTCAAAAAAATAATAAATAAATAAATAAAAAAAGATTTAGATACCATCCCTAAGCCAAGATGTCTCATTATGTACTCATATATGAAAATATTCCAAATCTGAAATCCGCAAACACTTCTGATCCCAAGCATTTTTTTTTAACTTTCTTAACGATTTATTTATTTGAAAGGTAGAATTACAGAGGCAGAGAGAGAGAGAGAAAGAGAGATCCCAAGTATTTTTTTTAACTTTCTTTTTTTTTTTTTTAACGATATTTTTATTTGAAAGGCAGTTACAGAGAGAGAGAGAGAGAGAGAGAATCTTTTATCTGCTGGTTCACTTCCCAGATGGCCACAATGACTGGAGCTGGCTGATCCAAAGCCAGGAACCAGGAGCTTCTTCCAGGTCTCTCACATGGGTGCAGGGACCCAGAGACTTGGGCCATCTTCTACTGCTTTCCTAGGCCATAATAGAGAGCTGGATTGGAAGTGGAGCAGCTGGGACCTGAACCAGCATCCATATGGGATGCCAGCACTGCAGGTAGCAGCTTTATCCACTATGCCATAGCGCTGGCTCCATCCCAAGCATTTTGGATAGAGGATGATCAAACAATATTAAATTTCTTGCCCTTTTATACAAAAAAGTTTATATATTTGTTTGTTTGAAAGGCAGAGTGACAGAGAGAGAGGGAGAGACAAATTAAGAGAGATATCCCGTCTGCCGATTCACTTCCCAAATAGCCATAATGGCCAGGGCTGGGCCAAGCCAAAGTCAGGAGCACAGAACTCCATTCAGCTGCATGCATGGGTGGCAAAGGTTCAAGTACCTGGGCCAAGCTCTGCTGCATTCCCAGGAGCGTTAGCAGCAGCTGGATCAGAAGTGGAGCAGCTGGGACTCAAACAGGCACTCCAATATGGGATGCCAGAGTGAAAAGCAGTGACTTAATCCGCTACACCACAATACTGGACCCCTGCTTTTTTAATTTTTGTTTCCATTTAACTTAACAATATGCCTTTGGGGCCGGCACTGTGGCACAGTGGGTTAAAGCCCTGGCTTGAATCGCCAGGATCCCACATGGGTGCTGGTTCTAGTCCCGGCTGCTCCACTTCCAATTCAGCTCTCTGCTATGGCCTGGGAAAGCAGTAGAAGATGGCCCAAGTCCTTGGGCCCCTGCCCCCACATGGGAGACCTGGAAGAAGCTCCTGGCTCCTGGCTTTGGATTGGCTCAGCTCAGGCCGTTGCGGCCATCTAGGGAGTGAACCAAAGGATGGAAGATCTCTCTCTGTGTCTCTACCTCTCTCTGTAACTCTTTCAAATAAATAAAATAAATCTTATAAAAAACACAATATACTTGGATATTTTTCTGTAAGAACATTTATATAAAAGGCTTCCTTATTCATAGACTTCTCACAGATACAGTTTTCTACTTATGAGTGTTGCATTATTTTTAACTGGATGCAGAATTGTGTTCTTTCTAATACTTTACTTCTGAAAGCAAATCACAACAAATAAATAGCTCTGCATGTGCCATTGCGCATGTTTCAGTACAACTGCAGACTCCTCATTCCTCATACTGTGAATCTGTGCTTTCTGCTTCTCTCGATCAGGTTAACCTTTGGATTTTATTGGTTGTCTTTTTGCAGCTGTCTTATTCAATTTTCACCTTCATCAGTTCCTTCTTTCTGCTTTCCTTTAGCTAAATTTTCTAACTTCTTAAATGCCCTGTGATGCACAATATGAACCACAACAGTGTGCATCCTGATTCAAAGCTAATCCTGAGTGGGTCTCAAGTTCCCCAAGCCTAGAGGGAAAAGCAAAGATGATCCTGCCCCAACGCTCCTATATGCCGTAAAAGCTAAGGCAAAAAGAAAACAGATCCACACTCTCCCTCTTGTACAAACTCACAATGTTCCCGTTCAAGCTCACAATTTTTAAAAAATGTACTTATCTAATTTTTCTCAGTGCAGGATAGTATATTGAACACGTGTAATAAAATGTTTGGGGGCTGATGCCAAGGCTCACTTGATTAATCCTCCACCTGCGGCACCGGTATCCCATGTGGGC